ATTTCTTAAAGTTACTATGAAAAAATTAAGTTCATCGGTTTATTTAGGAAGATTGTTTCAACTGTTCTGCTATGTCAGCCTGAAATAAATAAAACATTGAGTTGAAAAAATTTTTGTATAAAAGAAAATAATGATATTGACAAAAAAAAAACTAAAAAAACCCTACCACATAACCAATATCACTACAAACACGTTGGATGTTTCTAATACCATTACATATATTCAGATGTTTGATCAAGTTCACCAAGTGCCAAAGGAGCATCAACAACAGCATGTAGCCATCCATTCCATGCTTTAATGAAGTTTGAGTATTGTTAAGTCCAATTTATGGTTATTCTACCACGTAACTATATTGTATGGTAATTTCCTAAATGAACAGGGATGATAGGAATAGGTTGTTGATGAGCGAATTGCCTTAGTACACAATCAAGGTGATGTCATTCAATAATATGAAAACATATAAGAGGAACTGAAGCAAGCCAAATTTCAAGTGTTGTTAAGCAATATTGTGAAATCAATTGACACACTTCAAAAGTTTTATATGGCTACCAAATTATGTTGTCATTGGTCATTCTATCAAGGAGACTCCTATATTAGCGTAAGGACGTGGCACTTGGACGAAGATTCCAGAATATTAAATTAGAAAGGATCTTAAAAATTATAAGTATTTAAAGGATTAACTATATTTAAATATATTAAATTATCCAACAACTACATCCCTAAATTTTCTCTAATTTATGCTCCATTATTGGATATTTTTAATGATTAAATTAGATAAATATTTGATTAAATAAAATAATTTGAAAATGTGAGTTTTTTATTCAAGAAAATTGCCTCTGCTTCATTTTTCTCCTCGTCCCAACTTCACTTTCAAATGTTCAATTTTAATTTATCTCTATTATTAAAGAATAATTATATTCCTTTTAGCCTCTAATTTCTATATTGTGAATAAAGACTTCTGATGAAATATATACTTTGACTAGCACATAAAGGTAAATTTACATTAAATAATGATAAACTTACAATGAATGTATTTGTGTAATTTTACATTAGGTACCGTTTAAGTGACCCAAAAAAGCATTCTTATGATTGAAAACAAAAATAAATGTTAATAACTATTTCATACTAATTATTTAAAACTTATAATTACTTAATATGACAAAACAATTAGCCATTGCTGTTGAGTAATTTTTTTTAAATTTATGTTTTATTATTTGGTCTCCCTAAATAATTATAATTTTTAAGACCATCTTTAATAAATATTGCGACTCCTCTCTAATTTTTCCCAAAAATTAAATTTAAAAAAAAACTTCTCTCTTTTATCATTATTAACCCCACCATTAGTACTCTTTTTATTAGGAAAATTTTGTCACTATTTAGTGCTAGTTTTCATTGATCAGATACAAGATTAGACTAAGCTCACAACCAAATATTATCTAACTAGATACATATTTATTCTGACTACATAGTTACTAAAACACTATCTACTAAAACAAATAGTTACACATTTAATCAGATTATAAAAAAGTAAATTACAATTTATTTTATATGACAATTAATTATATGCCTACATTTTTTAATTAAAACAAACCTAACATGTAAAAATGACTAAATATAAAATTTTATCCATCATTTAGCAAAATACATACAAAAAATTTTAAAAAAAATGAATCAAGAGAATATATCTTAGTTAGAAGAAAAATGAAGCTTCAAGTTGAGATAACACGTATACAATATTTATAAGACCGCACACACTACACACTTCACACAAAATTGTGGAAGGAGAAAGAAGAATGGAAGGAGTTGGCAAAGTTCAAGAAGAACTTGAGAAGTGATAAGAAGGCAGATTGGAGTGGGAATACCGAATGTCATTATATAGAAAGAATTTACACTATGCACTCACATGCCAAAACAAAACAGTTACCTGTGAACTAAGCTAAAGACAATGAATGACTACTCCTTGAGGCTTGAGTGACTTTGGGTATGAGAATATTTGGGGAAGGAATTCTTACCCTTGAGTGGAGCTAAAGACAATAAATGACTACTCCCTGAGTGACTTTGTGTGTGTGGCTGGAAAAAGTAAGAGTATGGTCTGGTCAAATAAGAAAGCTGAAAAAGTATGGAAGGAAGGAATTTCACGTCGAGTGTAAGATAAATATGGATTGTGGGTCTCACTGAAGTTGTTCAGACCAAGAACGAGTTCTGTACAAATTTAAAGTCGATCACGGTCTGAACAATTTCAGGTATAGTATTTTGGTAAATAGTTTTGATCTTATCCTATTTGAGTAAATTTTATTACTGTTCACTGTGTCTGAGTAAAAAAGCCAATATTTTTCTCCTATTTTAAGAAAACCTCACTCTTAAGGAAAAATGTGAGTCTTTTTTTGTTGAATGTGAGATTTTTTTTCCCTTTAAGATACGAATTTGTGCTGAATTTGATCAAAAAGATTTGTGCAGATTTTATGAACATTGAGCATTCAAAAAAAATTTTTAGGTGCAAATTTATCACATAAGAATGTGATTGTTAATAGTGAGTTCATTACTCTCTCAGCTTTAAAATATAAGCTAAACTTTGGTCAAGAAATTTGGTTTTTTTTAAAATAAAATAACATTCACTTTTGTCTAAATATTTAATGAGTTTTTTTTTTAATTTTATCCCCAGACATTCTCTTTACTTTTTGATTTATTTATTGTATCTTTTATTTATTATCTTCATTAATAAGGGCATATTTGGAAGAAAAAAAAATATATGGCTTACATATTTATTATTTTAAACTGATTTTAACTAGTTTCTTGATAAACTTAAATGGATAAAGTTTAACTTATATTTTGAACCAGATGGAGTATTATTCTTCTAGTCTTATTTATAATTCACTTTTAATATGTTTCATAGAGATTAAGAAAAACTTTAAATTTTTATTAACTCATATTTAAAATTCAACAACTTTTTAATTTTATGCCTATTTAATATATATTATATTTTATGTAAACAAAATCAACATAATAATAAATAAATAGTAAAATTATACATCTATATAAAAAATTTCTTTTAACCCTCTAAATAACACCAAAAAATATTTTTTTTCTCTATTTATAAATAGAAGGAAAAATTACAAATAAAGACCCCAATATATAAAAATTTTGATTTGGGACCCTCAATTTGAAAAATAGCAAATAAGGACTCGATCTCATTTTTGTAAATATGAAATTGTGATGAAATATCTAAAATACCCCTAAGCCAAATGATAAGTTAACTATGAGAAATGACAAGTTCACTTAAGCGAATAACAACTTCAATAGACCAAATCACAACTTGACTGAGGTATGTCAAATGACGAGTTGATTATGAGAAATGATAAGTTTACTTTAATGAATGACAATTTCAATAGACGAAATCACAACTTGGCTGAGGGATATTTCAGACATTTCACCCACATTTCATATTTGTAAAAGTAATATTCAGTCCTTATTTGCTATTTTCTAAATTAAAGATCCCAATCACAATTTTACATATTAGGAGATCTTTATTTGTAATTTTTCCTAAATAGAATTAGATAAGTGACATTTTAAAGTTTCGGATAAATTTGGACAGTAAAACTCCTAAGCGTGCAAGATTTCTGAGTTAAAAACGGATTTCCACCTTCACTTTTTTTATTTTGGGTTAAGGTGCATCCAGTACCCCCATGTGTTTAGTCAGGTGCACCCAGTGGCCTGAAGTAATTTGTGGTGTAAATTTGCCCTCAAAGTAATTAAATTGGTGTACTGGTATCCCATGCTAACAGATCTGTTAGTTTGACCGTTAAATTGATGAGTCAGCACAAGTTTGACCAGAAAATCTGACGTGGCATGTCTAATAAGCAGGTGATGTGGAATTTTTTTTGGGGTTAAGGTGCATCCAGCACCCCCAAGTATTTTTCCAGGTGCACCCAGAGGCCTAAAGTAATTTATGGTCTAATTTTGCCCTCAAAGTAATTAAAATGGTGCACCGGTATCCTATGCTAACAAATCTCTTACTTTGACTGTGAAATTGATGAGTCAGTACAAGTTTGACGAAAATAATTTGATCTGGCATGTCTAATAAGCAGGTGATGTGGAATTTTTTTCGTCTGCCACTGCTTTGTTTTCTCTGTTTAGTAAATGCTCTCTTCGGCTCTTGGAATTTTTTTCAGAGTAAGAAATTTTTTTAGAGATACTCCTCTAGTCCTATTTATAGGGTAGAGAGAAAACATATTTTTTGGTCCTATTTATAAGGCACTGAGAGAAATTTTTTGTATGGATATACAAATTTAACCCTCATTTATTATTGTATTGACTTTGTTTATATGAGGTATAATGTATATTAAATAGGGATAAAGTTGGAAAGTTATTAAAATTTAAATGAGAGTTACTGAAATTTAGGGTTTTTCTTGGTCTGTGTGAAACATGCTGGAAGTACCTTATAAATAAGACCAGAGGAGTAATATTCAGACAAAACAATGAAATTAACAAGAAAAGTCATGTCACCTGCTTATTAGACATGTTAGGTCAGATTATTTTAGTCAAACTTGTACTGACTTATCAATTTCACAGTCAAAGTAACAGATCTGTTAGCATGGGATATCGGTGCACCATTTTAATTACTTTGATGGCAAAATTGCACCATAAATTACTTTAGGCCACTGGGTGCACCTGGAAAAATACTTGAAGGTGCTGGATGCACCTTAACCCCGAAAAAATTCCACATCACCTGCTTATTAGACATGCCACGTCAGATTTTCTGATCAAATTTGTGCTGACTCATCAATTTAACGGTCAAACTAACAGATCTGTTAGCATAGGATACCGGTGCATCAATTTAATTACTTTGAGGGTAAATTTACACCACAAATTACTTCAGGCCACTGGGTGCATCTGACTAAATACATGGGAGTGCTGGGTGGACTTTAACCCTTTTATTTTTAACCTCCTTTCGTTCCTGTTTCCTGACAAACGCATTTATCCTTTGCCGATATATAGAAACCCCAACCAAACTCTCCCCCGATGTGGTTTTTGCTATGATGCAGAGAGACTCAGAATCCGTACAAAGTGAGCCGATGGATTCTAGAACCCATTTTAATTCACTGTCCGAATTTGTATATCAAATTTCCCAGAAATTGCTCTGAAACATTGAACCCGGGCCTTCTTTCCAGCTTCCCCAGCGATCAAAGCTTTCCCGGTGTAATGGACCTCGATATATGCCGCTGGATACTAGAGTTTCTCCTCATGAGTCCCGTTCCAGATTCAATCGTCAAGAATGTTTGGAATGCTTTGCCTGTCTCTGGTATCAGTTCGCGCCTGTGGAAAATATTGGCTCTCAGGGCTATTCAATCGGAGGTGGATACGGAATCTTTTACAGAAAACTCATTGGAATGTCTAGAGGTCATTGAAGAAATCGACAGGCTTGATGGCATTGCAATCGCAGAAGCAATGAAGGAGGCATATTGTGCGGTTGCCGTGGAGTGCAGTATCAGGTACCTTGAGTCATGCCCAGATAAGAACTCCCGCGGCTTGTTTGACGATGCTATTAATAGGATTTGGAGGGGCCGAGTTCGGAAAATGATTGAGGCGATGGCGCTGGGAAAGAGGAGTCACTTGTTTACGGCAGAGTTGATAGAGTGGAAGGACGTCATAGAGTCTGCACGTTGGGATGCAGAGGCGTGCGGGAGGTTAATGAACATGAATACCAGACAAAATGCACTCGATAAAGCTAGGGTGTATCTTAAAGAAACTTGGACATCCATGGGCCCTTCTTTCCTTGAGTTAGTAGCTAATTTGTCTAAAGACAAGGGCTTGGAAAATTCAAGGGGGGATAAGATGCGTGACGCAGAGCTTGCTGCTAGTATACCCAATGAAGGTTGTAACAAGGGTGTTTCTGAATCTGTCGTGGTCTCTGATCAGATGAATATGTGCGAAGGAAGGTTACATTGTTCAACTAACACGACTGAGGAGGGTTTAGTTGTGTCTGGTGGAAATGGATTGGATAACTCTGCAATCTGCATGGAGAAGGCACCAGTGGCAGGTGAGAATCAAGATAGTGAGCAATTGGGGAATAGAGTTGTGTCTTCTGTTGGCGGAAATCAGGCATTGGGTGGGACTGACTTGCCTCAAAGGGCGGATGGAGGTATGTTTTTCTTCCCTGCTTCTTCACTATTCATCTCTGTGCGTGCTTTCAATTTGTAACTTCTACACCGTCTGAACTATAGTTTTTTAAAAACTTATGACATCATGTTAATAGTCATGTACTCATGTTCATGGAGAATAGTATCGGGTATTAACAAACAGTATTTAGTATGTGGGTTAAGTTTTAAGCGGAAGCATAGGTGGTGCAAGTAGAATTGCTTAATTTTGTTCCAAAAATTGGCATTGCTTATTGTCTTGCGTAATTTGAGGGTTCATTTTGTTTTTATTCATTGTTTCCTTGTTTTTCCTTACATTGATTTTTATATTGGATGCTACTGATGTAAAGTATAATCATTTTTATTTGTATACTATAGTACTTCTTTTGAATTATTCTCCGGGGAGGAGAAGTTGCTCTGGTATGATTGTTTTCTTGATTGACCATGAATAGGCAAATTTTTAGTTTCTTTTTCTTCTATGTTATTGTATCACACAACAAATTTAGCACCACAACATTATGGATATGCCTGGCCGTTTTTTTCTTTTGTTAAATTAGTAACATTTTCTTGATCACAATGCATTTTGATATATTTTTCTGTGTCTCACGTAGCAATTCAAGAGGGCAACCTGCCACTTGAACATAATCGTGCTGCTCCCTCTACACGGAAAGGAGTTAAAATTATTGATGCTGAGAATGCAGGGCCAGCGACAGCTTGTAGCAAAGATCATAATCCATCTAATATTCAGGTTGAAAAACTTCGGAAATCTCTCATGTCAAGTTCTTCGGAGTTGCAAGCATTGGTGAAGGATCCTCTTCCTGATGCATTACATAAATCTGACATTGTGAGATCTGAATTAGCAACAAAGGGTGTGAATCATGAGCCTCCTTTTGAAAACCAGAGTACAGTTGTAAATGTACCAGAGCAAAATACTTGCAGGAGCTTGGTGCTTTATCAACCTATCAATGATATTTTAAAGAAATTGTCTTCTGCTAATCGCAGTAATGTTCGACGTCCCAGCTGGATGGAACGAAATAGTACTGCCCATACTTATGAGGTAACTATGTTTTTCAGTTTCTATATTGTTGTAGTGGAAGGTTCTTTTAAGTTTATAAGGATCAGCATGGGCTAGGTTTTAGTCTAAAGGTTAGCATCTTATTTGAGATGTTTGCTTTGTAGTCATTCAGGAAAAAAAAATTGTGTGTATATTGAGTGCCTATTTGAATTTTCCTACAGCATATTATGTAGTGTTTCTCTTTTCAGTGGGATGATCCATTTAATGACTTGCCTGAGGGAAGCTCTAAGAAAAGGAAGAGAAAAGTAAGATGGAGTTCCGAAGAAGAGGATGCATTAAGGGCTGGTGTAAAGAAGTAAGTTTGTGTTTTAAACTTGTAAAACCACAACTTCTCCATGGTTAAATATGTGGGGATTTCTGTTGTGTGTTTAATTGTTCTTTGAAACCTTTTCATTTTGGTAGTATTCCTAGTCGGAAAGAGGATTTATTGTCTTTGATCAAGAAGTTATGAGACATTGTGTTCTCAAAACTTAGAAGTCAACAATGTCAAACGCTATTTAACTACATAAATTGTGTCGGGCTTCTAAGATTTTTTCTGCTTGGATGGAGAATATGACTTAATTTTTTTGAGTTTCAAAAATCATGATTTTATGCCCTCATTCTCTTTATTTCCTCATGCAGGTTTGGCAAAGGAAACTGGAAGCCAATCCTAAGGTTTTACAGTGAGATATTTACAAAGACGGGAAGAACAGAAGTAAGCAACTAACAATGCTGTCAAACTCGTTATCTTAAGAACATGTGGCTGAATTTCTTGCCTAACCCACCGAGTGGCTTAACAGATCTGTCCTTTTGAGTTATGATGGGGAGTTTGATTTCCTGTTTAGTTGTTTTGTAAGTTTGTTTGGGCGTTGGCCCCTTTCTTTCTCCTAAAACAACACACACACAGACACACACACGTTTTGAACGCGCAGATGAATTCAGGATTTCACTGTGATTTTATGAGTTAAAATCATTTTGATTTGAGTTTGCATGTTTGTTTGCAAGTTTTCATGCCTGCAATTTTGAACTTGCGCAAGTTTCTTTACCAACAATAGCAACTTACATGCTAAATTGTTCTGCCATGTTAGTTGTTAGTGAGCTTTGAGTTTTTGATGCAACAACAACATTATATTTTATTTTGTTTTCAGGTTGATTTGAAGGATAAATGGAGAAATTTGACACGGTGGTCATAGGAGGAGGAATTATTTTGCATGTGCATATTTCATATATCTCACGTCTTCAGAAGTATTTTAATTTGAAGGATGAGTGAAGAAACATGACGCTCTAGTGACAAAGGGAATTATTTTGTATGTACATACCCCTGGATATATCAGGCTTTGAATGTGCAGTTTCACTTTTTGGTTGATTTTCTTGCAGACTAGGTTTATGGCTAAGCCTTTTTATTGGCGAAATCATGTAGGGCCAGTAATATGTAATCAAGCATTGAAGTGTAATTTTTAACTTATTCACAAAAGAGGTAATTTTTAAGTTTCTCAATCAGTGGTGTGCTGCAGGTCGATTTGCTCTTCGTACCATTGTTGGAGACATTCTCATTATTCTCGAGCTTAATTTACGGGATGACACCTTTGTCTAGGTTCTCCACGATGGTTTAGACTTTAGAGGATCTTACGTATGGTTTTGATGGATCTATGGGATTCTTCTACTGTTGGGAGCTACTGATAAAAATTTAATTAGATATCTCAAAACATGCTCTAATTATATATTAAAAAATTAACACAAAAATCCCTATTTTATCTATAGCATAGATCAAAAGTATGTTAAGATATAAAATGATTGAAAAAGATATACAATTTTATCTCTTTCAAACGTATACACATAATATGTTTATTAAATGAATAATTTCACTTAAATATTTTACAAATGTATAATATTAACAATTTTTATTGAATATAAAATAAAGTAGATTGAAAAAGATATACAATTTTATCTCTTTCACGTATACACATATATTATGTTTATTAAATGAATAATTTCACTTAAATGTTTTACAAATGTATAATATTAACAATTTTTATTGAATATAAAATAAAGTAGATTGAAAAAGATATACAATTTTATCTCTTTCAAACGTATACACATATATTATGTTTATTAAATGAATAATTTCACTTAAATATATAACAAATGTCTAATATTAACAATTTTTATTGAATATAAAATAAAGTAGATAAAGACAAAAAAAAAAGAAAAATAATATAGTATCATTTATTTAAAAATTGTGTTTGTTTTATAATTAATTTTAAATTTCTGCTTTTTAATCATTAACATGATTAATCATTCATATAAGGGGAAAATATGCTTAATATTAATATTGGGGGTGTGTAAAGATTAGACTGGACCTAATTTATTATCAATTCAAAATCTGGTCTAATAAAAAGTTTCAGTTAAAAAAGACAATACGAGATCTGATCCAGTTAAATACAAATTTGAGGTCAAGTTGAACTAGACTTGGTACACTCTAGGACCTCAATTTAATTTTTTTAAAATTTTTTTGTCAATCTAAGGCAAGATTTAGTATATTAACCCTTTACTGTATAAAATTTTGTATATGTCTTGATCAAAACTTTATCAAATTTGATCATTCCCTTTCAATGTCTCAATAATGTCATGTTTCATTTATTAATCCTCATCAGTATTAAAGAAAATTTATACACATGCTCATAACTTAGGTAGTTAATAGATAAATTTTAATTATTTGAATTAACAAAAAACTTATATAGAAAAATTAAAATAAATTAAAATAATATAAATAATAGTTAAAAATTAAAAAAAAATTTGGACCAAATTGGACTTGACCAACTAATTTGAGGGGTTAGTCTGTAGTTCAGTCTAGTCCTGATAAGACCAATTCGTTCTAGTCTAATTTCAAGCCAATTTTTTATGGATCAGGCTTGTTCAGGTTGGGCCATGCTATACCAAGTCATTGGGCTTTTCACAACCCTACTTAATATAATATAATCAAGCACTATTATAATATAATAAATGATATTAACAATATCATAAGAAAATATATTAAATAAAATGAATATGTTATCCTTAATTTAGAGTAGAAGTGGTAATGCGAGCTGACAATGTAGATACAGGCCAGCCCACGGGGGTGCAGGCCCAAAGTGGTGCGGGATGAAGTAGCCTGCACCTTGGTGAGCTGGCATTTGAGCAGTGAGTTATAATAAAAAAAATTTGAAGTAGCCCTCAATAATCTTTTTTAAAAAAAAAAACTATTATTATTAATATAGGTTGAACTTAATTTGAAATATTAAAATTAGGCTTCGAATCTTAAATTTGAGTAGTGAGTTATAATAAAATAAAGTAAAGATTAATTTATAATTTAAAAAGATATTTTTAAAAACTAATATATATTTTTATAAATAATTAATTTAACTAATTTTTTTATTCAAAGTAATTTAGTTTTCTTATCCAAATTAATTAGGTAGATATTTTATGTATAAATGTATAAGTATCACATGTTTATTTAATTTTATAAAGGCTTTTATAGTGACGCAAGAAATAAATGAAAAATAAAAGATGGACGATGATCTTCATATAACTATACACAGAATCACAAATATATAAAGTATTTAATTACTTATGTAATGATATGAAAGAAGCAATGTTTAATTGTTCATGTGAAATTTGAGAGTCAGAATATTTTGATTACATTTTAAATTATATAAAAAATTTTTTTTTTAAAAAAAGTTGGCCAATCAGTCAACCCGTGAGCTAACCCACGACAGAACAAGCTCAAAATAATATTGGCCGGTAGGGGTGTGCATGAGGCCCGCATGCCCAATAAGCCCACCCGAGCCCGCAAGAAAAGCGCCCAGCCCAGCCCAGTAAAAAGCTGCCCAAGCAAAAATGGGCATCTTCGGGCTGGGCTGATTCACGAGCAGGGTAGGCCGCGGGCAGGGTATGCTGCCCTGCCCATTTGGCCCTGCCCGAAAAAATATATAATTATATATATAAGATAATATTATTTTAAGCAATTATCTCTTTTGTTTTGGCCAAAAAAATTAGGTAAAATTAGAAAAAATGAAAGGAACATAAAATTATAATTATATAAAAGAGCTAAATATCAAAATATAAGATTCAATATGCTAAATTACTCCAAGTCAAATTTCTTTCTTTTTCTCTTACATCCAATTTTTTAAAACAAAAAAAAAACCACCTTTCAAATTTTGTGCTTTCACATGATTATAAAAATCTGCCAACTATATGAATAAACTAAGGAATTGAACTACTGATTTAGCTTGACTATTAAATGTTCTAATTATTAAATATTTTTTTTTACCTCCCATAAGAAATTGAAAGTTGAAGAACAAGACTACATAGGCCTTATATATATATATATGAGTGATAGACTCATTCGTGATAATTTTTTTTCTACATATGATATAAGGCATGGTGTCATTACGCTGGGCAGAAAAGCCCGCCCTGCCCAGCCCGTCCTTACCCTGTCCAAAATGGTTAAGGTTTCTACTGGGTAGGGTCGGACAGTGAGCTGCAAAACGCAACCCGCTCATCTTTCAGGCTGGGCATCGGGCAAGAGGTTTGTCCTGCCCAGCCCTGTCCATGTACAGCCCTATTGGCTAGAATAGCCCGTATCTTGGTGGGCATATCTTGGTGGGCAGGCATATTGCCAACCTGTCTCCAACCCGTATCACCAGCTTTATACTTTAGAGCAGTTTTTTTGGGAAAAAGAAGCTTATATATCTTGTTTGGCAGCCTAAGCGGACGAATGTGACAGATCTTCATTCTACCCACACCGTCCTTTTGGCTTCCTCGTCTCAAAGTCTTCCGTTGTCGCCAACTTCCTAACCCTAAGACGCCATCTGCAGCCTGCCGCGAACAACTGAGGGCGATCTGAGCACACCGCCGTCCACACATTCGAAACTCTCAACTCCGATTTTCAGGTGTCCTTTTCTGTTCTTTCCTGCTCCAAGAATTGTTTATTATTCGACTCTCCTATGTTTCATTATGTCGAGGCTTATAGATTTATTGCTCTCTGGGCCTGATATAAAAAGTGTGTTACAAATCGTATTCCCGCGCATATAATTCCTCGCTCGTTATCTGCTAGGGTAAAATCTGGTACCGGTAGAAGTCCAGGATCAATGATGTCTTTTTGTTGGTTTGGTCTAGAGTACTATGGTGATCCTGGCAATTTTTCTCCTAGCTTGGAATTACTACTGTTATTTACTATTTTAATTTGTTTTAGGCGTTTTGTTAGATTTTCCTTGTAATCCTGTTGGGTTTACGTCCATCTCATCACCGTTGCCCTAATTTCTTTTATGAACTCCTCTACTCGTGGGCTTGGCTAATTTTTTAATCATGATTTTAGGTTTCATTTGTTAAAGACATGGTTTTTATTTTTGTCAATTTTTTTGGTGCAATCTGCGACATATTGTTTTCATTTGTTTTCTTTCAGCTTTGGGTTTAGACTTTGGTGATTTCCATGATTAATTGCATATTTGCGTTTGGTTCAGAATGGATAGATGAATTGGTAATTTGAATACCGTTTGTCTAAACTCTTAGTTATGACCTTACCTCCTTGTTCTTGTAGATTCATTCCATGTATTTGTAGTGGAGCTTTTGTTTGTTGTTGCACCCAACCTTATCTTGTGTTTAAGGCCAGGTTCATAAATGAGATATATTTTGGTGTGATTCTGATTGTTTGATTGTTTAGTACTGGATTCTTGTTACATCTCTTAAGAATTGTGGGTTGTTTCTACCAGGGATTAATATCAAAATTACAAGATGCCGGCGACTGCTGGTAGAGTTCGTATGCCTGCAAACAATCGGGTTCACAGTAGTGCAGCCCTTCAGACCCATGGTATATGGCAGAGTGCTATTGGATATGATCCATATGCACCCAATAAGGAAGACAAGAAGGATACTTCTCAGATGACAGCAAATGCGGAACCAGATGCTGAGAATGCATATGCGAACTTCCAAGGACTCCTTGCACTTGCTAAGATATCAAATTCTAGTGTGGATGTGGATCGAGGGGCCTGCAAGAAGTGTGGGCGTGTTGGGCACCTCAGGTTTCAGTGTAAGAACTATGTAAAGGTTAAGGATGATAATGAGGAGAAGGATGCAGAAGCTATGCAAGTCCCAGCATTGATTGCACTGGATAAATTGAAGGGGAGGGCAGCAAAGGTTGAAAGAAGGGCTGCTGAGAGCTCTGATGAGAGTGATGAGGAGGAGGATAGTGAGAGTTCAGACTCTGAGGTAGACTCAGAGATTGAGAGAATTATTGCAGAACGATCTGGGAAGAAAATTAGCAAAAAAGGAGGTTCTTCAAGGAAAAGGAAGGACTCTAATGAAGATGAGTCTGACCCTCGATCTGGCAAGAGGAAGAAGAGAGGGAGATCAAAGAAGAGGCATGGAAAGAGAGAAATTAGTGATTCTGATTCAGATGATTCAGATTTAAGGAGGAGGAAGAGGAGGAGGGAGCACAGGAGGAAGAGAGACAAGTCCTCAGATGAGAACTATGACCGTAAGCATAGAAGAAAGAGTCGGAAGGAGAAGAGGAGAAGGAGAAGCCGTAGATCTGATACTGATTCTGAAACATCTGAGGATTCTGGGGGAAGACATAGACGAAGAACTAGAAAGGCAGAATCATCAACTGATGCTGATTCTAGTGATCTGGATGATTCAAGAATGGGCAGGGATGTGAAGAAATCTGAAAAAAGCCGGAGACGTCATTCCGAAGATTATGAATAGAATAGTAAAGTGTTTACTGTGAACTGTCAAATCTGTCGGCAGACAGTTTCATGGAGTAGTTGAAGTCCATATATGAAACATGATTTTCCTGTGAAATAATTGAGTGCTGTAATCGGATGTGTAATATCATAATTTTATGTTGGGAGTCAAAAATGCATGCAGTGAAGTTCTAGTTTGTAAAGATTGTACTGGTTCAGGGACTAGTATTATAGGTACATCCAGGATTTGGAATGACAGTTCTGGCTTTGCCTGGTTGAGTTGTTGCATAACCATGCATGACTAGCATGGGAGAGGTGCCCTTTAAATCCTTCAGGTTGAGGGTCTCTCTAGGTATTGATCAGATTTAAAAATTAAAAGATGACTGTCTATTGATTCATATTGATTTCGTTGCAGTTATGTTATTGTATGCTAAATGTTCTTCAATGATCTTACTTTGTACTACAAGGCAATAGAAGACACATTCTTGCTCCTGCTATGCCTTTCTGCTGGTTGCTTCTGACTGAAACATAGCTGGAATCTTCTCAAGGGAACATTTGATTATTATCTTCTAGCTAAAAAGTATATTTTAGTGAAACATTTTGCCAGATTAAATCTTTCAATTTGTCAGTGGTGTTGCTGTTGCTCATTGTCCTCTGAAGTATGTTTAATATTTCAGCTGCTATTCAGCCTCACATGTAATTCTCCATCTTTCCCCCTTTCGGTGTTTTCCTGATTTAAAAAAAATAAATAATTAAAAAAAAAAAAAAACTTCGCCGGCAGGTTCTGTGCAGGTTGTTTCTCTAAAGCAAATCGAACAATTGTAGGCTACGGATAGGCATGATTGTGCTTTTGGAACTGTGGATGTAATTTTTATTTATGAATGCGTTGGTCAGTTGTATGTGGGATTGATTTTTCTTCTTACAAGTGATTCAGAGAGTGCTGAAGTTCACTTGTCACTTGTATGGGTTGGGAAAGATCTTAAAGGTCCAATACTTGACGAAGAGGAGTTGCTTGAGTAAGGCGATTGAGTGGGATTGTTGACTTGTAATTCTTTAAAAGTAGTTGCGTGTTGCATGGTGAACGTGTATTCTTAGACTCTATGTAGAAGTGATTTAAATTTGTCATAATGATTCAGCAGATGGAGAAATTAAGGTCCTCAAGCTGTGATAAGCGCGTCAGACACTGGAAAATATCATCTGGCTTATGAATGGGGAAGTTCTATAGCAAGTTATATTAGAGAATAGAAAGAAATTTAAACCCATCTGATTATATTGCTGGAAAGCTGGTTTGTTTGTAGAAATTATTTTCATTATATTCTTGAAAAATTATGATTTTTTAAGGAAAAATTCTAATTAAATTCAGCTGAAATATTTAAATTCAAATTGAGACTTATATTTTTAACAAATTTCTAATCAGGACATGAGATCTAATTAGGGATTGGTGAATATTGTTAAATGATTATAATGTCTCTCTTTAGTTAAAAATGAAAATTGATTATTTTATTCCTTTAAAGTAGTTCATCATCGCTTATTATTAATATTTAGACAAAAAATATAAATAATTTTGCAGTGTTTGAAATTTCAATTTTCCTTTTTAATTAAAGAAATTCAGGATTCTTAAATCTCATGGCCTAATTAGGAATTGATTTAAAATGTAGGTCTAAATCTGAATTTAGGTATTTCGAATATATTTAATTCGGATTTTTTTTTTAAATCCCTCTAATTCATAAAGGAGCTTTTTTTATTACTTTTGCTCCCATCTTGGAGAAGACACAGAAGAGGCTTTCAAGTTGAAAGAGGAATTACCTAAGCATGGCAGGGAGGGCCGCTCTTATCAAGTCTGATATTTCAATGCTTCTCTCATACCAGATGCAAACCCTGCTTCTTCCAAAATATCTCCTAAAAGAGATTGACAAAAGAAGTACAGACTTTTCGTGGGGAGATAGTGACGAGACCAAAAAAATTCATCTTATCTTTTGGGACTAGGTTACCATGGATAAGAAGGAATGTGGCTTGGGTATCAAGGATTTAACTAAACAGAATGAAGCCTTTATCATGAAATTGTACTGGAATCTCCTTTGCAATAAAGAAGCACTTGGGTCAAGGTGCTCAAAGCTAAGTACAAATGTGGAGACAAACCTATGCCAATGGTGATTAAAAAAAGTAGAATTCCTCTTTCACTTGGAGAAGCATCTATAAGGCTTGGAGAAAGTTCAAAGAAGGCCCGGGAGTGAAAATAGGGAATAGAGTCTCAACTTTCTTTTGGTACGACAACTTGTCAGAAATGAACAGACTCTTGATTGAGTTGATTAGTTGACTATGTAGAGACTGGAGGTTAATGGAACACTAATAGATTGAGTCTTTGGTTCCATCCTTAGGTTGTTGAGCGTATCACACATGCATATCACACATGCACATCCACCCCGAGAGGAGAGAAGAGAGGATAAATACTTTTGAAAATCAGCCAATGATGGCCTCTTTTCTATCAAATCTGCATATCTTTTTCTTTCTGCAAGTAGCCAGGACAGGATTGACAATACTTGGAAGATGCTATGGAGATGGAGAGTGCCAGAGAAAATCAAATCCTTTGTGTGGTTGTTTACTCATGATTAAATACACACTACACAACTTTGTGTTAGATGGGGTATTTCTCATGATGCATCATGCCCTTTTGGATGTGATGAAGTAGAAGACTCAATGCACCTGCTGAGAGACTGTATGAACGAGAAGGCATGCTAGATGTCTGTAGTTGCACCAAACTTGAGGAACCAGTTCTTCTCCCAACAAGGGGGGAATGGCTTAACTAGAATCTACCAACTGAAGCAGGACAAGAACACACTAAGAGAGTAGGATGGGATATGCTGTTTGGATACATATGTTGGGACATCTAGACTTCTAGATGTAACAAACTCTTTGGAGTAGAAACAAGTTTACTTTATCATAATGCAAACAACAGCCTCTTCAGAGTAGTTGCAGACCAAGAGCTTCTGAGGAGAAGCAACTTGTACAATGCTGCCCAAATAGAAGAAGAAGTGACGGTGCCCATTCCGAATAATGCAATAAGACTAAAAGTGGACGGCTCTATTATTGAAGGAGGAAAGAGTGGATGCGAAGGAGTGCTTAAAGATAAAAATGATAGATGGATATGTGGTTTTAACTACAAGATTACCACGATGCCTCCGGCTATAGCTGAAGCAATTATTCATGGTCTTAACCTATGCTGGTATAGAAACTATAAGAATGTTTGTCTACTTTGATTGTCTTGATGTTATTAATTATTTGCATAGGAGTCGTGATCCTACACATTCTTTTAGAGACCTTGTTGATGAAGCTAAATTACTTTTGTATAAGAATTGGCTGGTGACGATCTACTGCACTCATAGAGAAAATAATTCTATGGCAGTGATCACCTTGTCAAGTTATCGCATAGAATAGAAGGAAATTATTGCATCTTTGATTACATATTTACATCCCATCTTTCTTAATGAGAGATGGATAATGATGAAAGAGGCTCTCCTTTTCTACTTTTTTGTGATTAATGAATACACAGTTTCAATTCAAAAAAAAAAAATTAAATATACTATTGTATCCTTAAACAACTGCATCAAAGAGCACGCCTCCAATGGAAAATAATAAATGGTCAGCAATCAACATGTCCCTACATTATCACTTCCATTAATGTAATTATTTTTCTGTTAAAATCTCATGTTCATCAATCTTGCTGTTTTCTTCCGTTTAATTTTTCATATTAAAAAATAATAACTTTTTATGATTGTTTGGGGTCAAATTATGTTAATATAACTCCTAAATTCGGAAGGAAAAAAAAAATTATTGCGCTTTCCCCCAAATGCCACGGGATGATCCTGTTGAGTTTTCTAAACATTGTGACTATATTGAACTGAACTTAAGTGTAATTTTCCCCCGAAATTCCTTCATCTCATACTTGGCGGTTGGCAGCGCAGGCAGTTTTGGTTGATCCAAAGTCGTCCAATAGGCGAAAACCAGACGGAAGCAAGCCATGGAAAAGCCGGGGAATGCTGTCGGAGACAAAACGACGTCGTCTTAACTCTTCAAACTTGTCCAATAATCAATTGTTGTCAGCGGAGTTTTCAGAGACCAAGGGACGAGACGACCTTAACTCCTTCAGAACTACGTAAAGAAGAAATCATACATTCTCTCTCCGTGAAGTTTCGTTCGTCCCTTTGTTCCCACCCATCACGCTCTTTCCTATGTGCTCTAATTTCCTCAATCTTTTCACTTTCAACTTCCTTTCCTTTCTTGAATTAGATCGTCTGGATCGATCAAGTTCTTGCTGACCTCCCCGAGGTAAAGTTCTAATCTGTTATTAATTTTTCTATGGTGCTGAAACCTTTTTGGGCAATTAAGAAGAGGGTTTTAGTAGGATACATCCAATGTGTGCGTGTTCGCATGTATAAGAGATTTACATGTTTGGATGGTCTTTCTGATTTCTTTCAAGAACAAAAATGCTTCATTTCCTTGCCAAAGAAAAATGGTTCGTTTGTGAAATAAGGAAGGATAGGGGGTATTTTATGCTGAATCGGTTGCTGATTTTGCTGGAGTTTGGTGCATTTATGAGAAGCTGAGGTGACTGGCGATTTCTCTTATGAGTCTCTGAAAGGAAAGATAGTGTTTGGTTTCTATATGTTGCTATTTGGATTTACGTGGAATGCTCTTGACTATCACTGGAAAGAGATAGTTCTTTTTTTTTTTTCCTGTTTTTTTCTTATGCAAGATGATAGTCGAAGAGAATTGTGGTTGATGCCCATGCCTTCTGTACCTAATTCTTTTTTTTACCAACATTTCTTAGGCCCCTTTATTTGTGAAGCTGACAAACTTGCTGTCAAGTATCAATTAATTTGTCGAGCACTAATCATTTTACTACTTTTCACGGAGAGCTGATACTCCATACTTTTATGCTTGACTTATTCATTGGGTCTACTCAGGCCATTTTTAAAATAAATTTGCTTGAGTGATCATTTTATATTCGCATGATTTTCAGCTAATGTTTTTTTTTCTTATTTTTTGCTGCCATTAGGCGTGGTCATCTGGTAATACTCTAGAGCTGCATTTTATAGCTGCTTTTCATCTGCAAGCGAGGTCATAAGTGTGATGAGATTTTATGATTAAAACTGATAACCAGATGGATAGGAAACAACATATTGCTATTTTCACAACTGCCAGCCTTCCATGGTTGACGGGAACTGCTGTGAATCCTCTGTTTCGTGCTGCATATCTTGCCAAAGATGGGAAAAGAGATATAACTTTGGTGATCCCTTGGTTATCTTTAGAAGATCAAGTTCTTGTCTATCCCAACAACATTACATTTGGTTCACCCTTGGACCAAGAGCATTATGTCCGGCAGTGGCTTGAGGAGAGGGTTGGATTCACGTCTAATTTCAATATAAAGTTTTATCCTTCAAAGGTGATGATGACTCTAACTACTTTTACATTTTACAGAGATAGTTGCAATGGCAGCCCCCACCCCAACAAGCGCGCAAAGGAAAAAAAACACATGTACATGAACATACGCAAATAAAGGACTGTGGTTCATTCTTTGAAATCATGATTGATAAATATTATGTTTTACTTGAATTGTTAACAAGGTTTTCTATTGGAAATTATGGTGGGTTTAGGGTTATTACTGTATATTGATTCATTGGAGTGTTACTGTTATAAGTTATACGATTTCTCATCAAAAGTTTTTGGTTAATATCCACTAATTTGGTCTTATAGTCTGAATCTTGAACCATCCATCAGTTTGTGAAGTTTTGTTATTGTTTCTTTGTATTTACTCCCTCCGGTCCGATATATAAGCTTCAAATTTGGGAATGAGTGTGGTCCATTTTAGAAGCTTCAATTTAGGGTTTGTCTTAACATTTAATGCATTTTTCCAATTTTGTCCTTAATTATTGATCTCTCTCCTTTGACACACAATCTCTTATCACATTTCCCCACACAATCTCTTTCATCATTTCTCTCATTTATCATAAGGGCATATTTGGAAACAAAAGTATATTTCCATCCTATTTATTGCTTTTAACTAATTTTAACTAATTGTTTGTTATCCATGAATTAGTTTTTTGAAGCTTATAATAAGGACCGGAAGGAGTATTATTTACTTGCAATCATGTTTGAACTGAAACTGTGTTTTTCTACGATCCTAGCATCAATTTCTCATGTATGTTGAATTAAATTATGATATAACTAGACATGCAGTTTTCTAGAGATAAAAGGAGCATTCTTGGTGTTGGAGATATTTCAGAAATCATCCCCGAAAAAGAAGCAGATATTGCTGTTTTGGAGGAGCCAGAGCACCTAACATGGTATCACCATGGTAAAAGTTGGAAAGCTAAATTTCAGCTAGTTGTAGGAATTATTCACACTAACTATCTGGAATATGTGAAGAGAGAGAAGAATGGAAGGATGATCTCCTTTTTGGTGAAATATATGAACGATTGGGTTGTTGGTATATATTGTCACAAGGTTTGTCCTCATATCCATATTTGACCTTTATTTATTTTTTTCATTAGCATTTTTGTCTTTACTTGCAATTGAAAATTGTTACTTCTCAAAATCTGGGTTAGCCAAGGTGGTTGAAATGGTAATCTTGTCATTGACATTGCTAATAAATAGCTTAGCATCCCATTACTATTAGGCAGTAAATCAAGGTATTTTGAAAAGAAAAAATTATCATTGTGGTTCTAAAGGTATCTATGAGTTTGGATGCTTGGAAAGCAGCTTTGTTTTCTTTTGGGATTTGTATGATTCTTATTTGTATCAACCTGTTTATTATTTCTTTCGATCTCTCTCTGGTTGCCAATGGGTGTGGTTTAGATGAAAATAAAAGCAAAAGAAGTGTTAAATAATATGAAGGGTATTTTAGTGATTTGACTTGTTAGATAATATGTTGCTTATTGAAATGGGGCTAAATAGTTCACGGGGGGCCATAGTAAGTTTCTTTGTAGAATGAGGAGGACATTGCAATAGGATCTAATTAACCTTATAACTGCAGGTAATTAGACTATCTGCTGCTACCCAGGACTACTCTGGTTCCATTGTCTGTAATGTTCATGGAGTAAATCCCAAATTCCTTGCAATCGGAAAGAAAAAGATAGAGCAACAACAGAAAGGAGATCAAGCCTTTACCAAAGGTGCCTACTACATCGGGAAGATGGTATGGAGCAAAGGATACAAGGAGCTGCTTAAACTTCTTCGCAACCACCAGAAGGAATTAGCTGGGCTTGAAGTTGATTTATTTGGCAGTGGAGAGGACTCAGATGCAGTTCGACAAGCTGCAGAGAAGTTGGAACTAGCAGTTAGAGTTCACCCAGCGTGTGATCATGCTGATCCTCAATTTCACGAGTAAGCTTCGTACTGATTTGCTCATTTTTTATGCCAATTGAAAACTTGAATCTCGTCTCAATCAGATGATGGATAAAAGATGAATTTGGTTATTTAGTATTAAGAGTTCCTCTTGTGCATAAGTTGAAAAAAGTAAATTTTTTTTTTATACTGTTGGAAAAGTAATTTTGACTCAATTTAAATTTGATATATCCTATATTGACATATAGTATCTAAGCATTAATGGTAGGGCATCAAACAGTATACCAACCTGAAACTAATAAGATCTTGATCAACCTGATTTTATGCTATGTCCTTTTTAGGAATATGGAAATATGTTAACAACATGAAATATTATCTAATTATGCATATAAATGCATCTATAAAATCATTTGGGTATTTGTTGGAAATAACCAACTTTGGCCAACCTTGTCCTTTCACCTGCTATTGGTAGAAATTGATCTCACTTTAGTTATGTATGCTTATCAAGGACTGAAGGTCCTATTAATGGACGCTTCCTTACTGTGATGAGAACCTAAGCACAGTCATCAATAATCAGCTAATGTTTAGCAAACTGGCATCATAAAGTACTTCAAGTTGGAAAAATAACCAATTAACGAACTTTTTCTTTAATTTTCCTAAATTTGTCTTCTCTGAATATTTCTGTGAATGTTCTCGAATTAACCTATATCAAATGGAAGGCCTGGAGAATGTTCTGCCTGGAATATGTACTTATCAATTATTTTTGTTCCTGTGTGCCAGCTACAAGTTGTTTCTTAATCCTAGCTCAACAGATGTGGTTTGCACAACAACTGCTGAAGCTTTGGCTATGGGCAAGGTTGTTGTATGTGCCAATCATCCCTCAAATGAGTTCTTCAAGCAGTTCCCAAATTGTTGGACATATGACAATGATAAAGGATTTGTTAGAGCCACACTAAAAGCACTGAATGAAGAGCCTGTTCAGCTTACCGATGCTCATAGACATGAGCTTTCATGGGAGGCTGCCACCGAACGTTTTCTCAAGGCTGCTGAACTGGACAAGCCACTTGTGAAACAATTGTCGAGAAGTACATCGAATAACTACCTGTCTACATCATTAAATGTGCAGCAGAGAGTGGAGGATGTATCTACATATATACATCATATTGCTTCTGGGTTTGAAGCATCTAGAAGACTATTTGGTGCAATTCCAGGTAGCCTGCAACCAGATGAACAGCTATGCAAGGACCTTGGGTTAGCTACTTCTGGGAATCAAGGGTCAAGAAAATGATTTCAGACGCTGTGATTTTATTTTTTTCTGGGGTGAGATTTCTTGCTTATTCTGGTCTCAAGGTCTTACCAATAAAGGTTAGGTCTAACGAAAAGAGCTAGTCTCTCATAACATAATAAATTAAGGTTCTAATCCCTATTGGAAGATGTGCCTATGTTTAATGCCTGACAGTATCTCGATTATGATTGCCTCTAATAGAAAGATACATATACTTTAGGTGGGAAAAAAAAACACCCTTAGATTTTATGGCTTTGATCTTCTTTTATCCTTGCGGGTTATTTCAAACTACCAAAAAGAAAAAGCCTACTACTTTAAAATGAATTATATTTCTAAATTTTCCTTGATAGAAAAATGTTAGTTCCAAATATAAAACATAATTCACTTTTTCTACTCTATTTATCATTTTTTTCCTCAAATTAATTTATTTAACTTATAAACTGATATATAATTCATATAATATAATGTTATACAGAGTTGTTTTAAAAAACTTATTTTACATTTATTATAATTAATTAATTAATTTTCTCAATGAGACTATAAATAGGATCTCATTCATAATATAAGAAGTTGGTTAGAAGAAAATTTGGTCTAAAATATAAGAAGTTAACAGATAACTAATGATGGTTTTTAACTTTCAACCCTTATTATAAGGACAAAGTTTTAAATGTAGGAGAGGTGAGAGAGAATTTTCTAATCACATTTTTTAATAAAGGTACACTAGGGAAATAACTTTTATCAATTTGAAACAAATTTAATGACTTAACTAGCAGCCTGTTTAGTTGAATTACGTAAATAATAATTATTATATGTAACCTCGATGCAAAAGTCTGATTCAATTATTTAATTGTTTCTGTAGTATAAAAAAAATTAAAAGATATCTTGATTCCCTTAAAATAATTCGGTTAGATCATATGAATAGGGATTAGAGGATGGAAAAAAATACACGATTACCCTTAAAAAAAATAGACACTACTCCATTTGCTCTGCTATCATTCTGATTCCCACATGCTTCACCTTGAAAGCACCGCCGCCACCATTGAACTCTATTCCCAACATCTTTGTCCTACTTCTCCACCTACTCATGTCTCTTTTGATAGGCTCAAGTCTCACGATTGGGTACAGGGATCATGACACTTGACCCTTATGATATTCCCCAGTAAGAGACTGCAGATAACTGTGTTAATGTTTCCCTGTAAGTCATCATTGTTGTTCTTTGTTTCCGGTAATGAGAGTTGTCATGAGGATCTGATCAATCTCGTTTATTGAACACAAGAATCACTAAAACTAGAATTAATTTACCTACTTCAAAAGTTGCTTTTGTTTACCATCCGATAAAAGTGGTACTTGTTCTTGCATTTATGAATAAGAAGGCGAACATATTTTTGTTTACAATGATTCACGTGTTTGTGTGTGTTCATTTGTTTATTCAATGAACAGAGGACGATTGATATGCATGTTCATTGACTTATTCAAGGAACAAAGAGTTAATCCATCTCTTCATTTTTAATGAACAACGAATTAAATAGACTATCATCTCTCCCAAGTAAATTTTGTCAAAGAATATTTTCAACCAGACATATAATGAAGATTTACCTTTATCTATATGAATTTGTTACATCATTGCTGAGTATCTTGAACTCACAAACATACCAATCATAACCATGACAGGAAGTTATCAGAATTCAGAAATATACGTTCAATCCTAACCTGCCATATCTTTATTAACATAATATAACAAGATCTCTGTATAATACAAATGACACAAACCTCAAGAGACCTTATGCTTGTACCTTGTGGCACAGACTAAGTAAATCAACAAATTTAAGAGGCTAATTCCAGCTAAAAGACAGAAAAAGTAATGGAGATGACCTTCATTCAAGTTATCAGGAATCCATCCAGCCTGTCCTCCTTGTGTAGTCAAGTAAGATACTATGGTAATAATGAAGGAGCTCAGGTAATTTCCCAAGGAAGTAGTCAGTAATGACAGGGCACTGCATAAACTCCTCATCGCATCTGGAGATTGATCATAGAAGAACTCAAGCTGCCCAATGAATGTGAATACCTCTGCTGCACCAAACAAGAAGTACTGAGGGATTTGCCAAAAGATGCTAAGGGGCACGGCAACAGCTTTATCAATGAGGCTAAACTCTCTTGCAAGTTGCAGCCGCTTAATCTCCACAAGAGCAGCCGCTAACATGCAGAGAATTGATAGAAAAAGGCCAATTCCCATCCTTTGCAACTCTGAGAAGCCCTTTTCCTTGCCTGTAAATCTCCTTGCAATTGGAACAATTAACCTGTCAGATGGGGACCCAGAAAATAACACTCAAGACATCGAAAGTTGAGAGGGAGGCTGCAGGAATGGTGAATGAATTAATACTTCTGTCCATCATTGTTCCTTGTTCCACAAACATTGTTGACATCTGAGCATACACAGCAGAGAAAACAATTCCGGTAGCCCAAATAGGAAACATGCGGACCAAGATTTTCAATTCCTCCACCTGGTTCACGCTACAGAGTTTCCATGGATTTGAATAGTCGCCTTTCTTGCGCTCAATATCAGAAACTAAAGCTGCTTTATCAAGGCACCTTCAGTGAAAACAAAAAGTTGAAAATCTTAATCAGAGTCTGAACGCTAATTCCTTCTCATTCGTCCAAAATTATTTATAGCGCCCCCCCCCCCAAAAAAAAAAAAGGAGAAAAAAAAAATACAACTGAAGTGCCTTCACATCAACCAATTTCACTGCAACATTTAAGTACATGAAAAGTGAAATAAAATGCAAGTATAATAAATCATCTTGTCCGCATAGTTCTTGAAAACTAGATAATTTATTCATAAAATCTTATCCAATGACCATTTATGATTTTATGGGTTATCAAGTCAATAAATGATTTCCTCCATTATTTTCCGCGTGTTTAGCTAAGTAACATTACTAGCCTGTAACAGGTTAGTCAGAGTCAACATAGAAGGCTCTTCCTACACCACTAGAGTAGAGCTAACATTTATCATCTCACGCAAAGTAATTGATTTCCTTCTTTGCATAACAAATTATAATTCACATGCAAAGGGAGAGTCAGCAAGCATCCTAAAATACTGCTTTTACAATATTTGAGATAATAAAATGAGGCCCAAAAATATGAGGAACATGACAGGAAGCTCAGAAAAAATTACGTTAGTTCATCACTATGTTCCAGTTTCCTACTTGCTTCGATTGCAGAGCTCTTATCTGGTGTCTGATAAAGGAGGCTACTATCTACCGGGAAATCCAGATTCCGTTTCCTGAAAGATGCTACCACAACTTGGCACATTCTTGTAATAGGGCTTCCCCCTGGTTTCTGGAACCTGTAGAGGGGTGTGCCTAAAAAAAAGGTAACAATAGCTAAGCCCATAAATAAAGAGGGAATACCAAATCCAAGACCCCAACCAGCATTGTCCTGAATCCATACAATTAAAGTGCTTGATACAAGAGAGCCAATGTTGATAGAAAAGTAAAACCAGTTGAAAAAGGATCCCTTCTTAATCCTTTCCTTGGGATCAGTATCATCAAACTGATCTGCCCCAAAAGATGACACACATGGCTTGATTCCACCAGTCCCAAGTGAAATTAGGTAGAGGCCAGTGAAGAACACAGCATATTGTGCAGCTGTAGCTGATGGACAGAGAGAATTAACACAATCTGTGGGCTTTAATGCTGGAACAGATGCAGAAACAGTCAATGTGCACATTCCCTGCAGGAAAAAACCTCGTCAGCTATTTAAACATTCGAAGGAAATTAAATAATCTCGTTTACAACAAAATGAAAAGGAAGCCCTGATGATTAAATATATTTACAAAGAAATAAATCGTCGAGAAAACAACAATTGTCCAGTATCTTCCCCAGTAAGAATCTGCAAGGAAAGCTCCGACAAGAGGGGTAAGATAGCATGTTCCTTGCCAGGTAGTGACATTTCTTGCAGCAGAGACATGTCCTTCATGTAGCGTTCTGGTAAGATAGGTAACAAGATTTTTTGCGATGCCATAATAAGCTAATCGTTCACAACACTCATTGCCTGTAATTCATATTACATCACCATGTTATGAGCAGTATATACTGTTTAATATGCGTAAGCACCACTACCTTACCTAAAATAAATGGACAAGCTTTCCAATTGCCAGTATTCTGCTTAAGAACAGGCTTCCCCTTAATGTCAACCGAGCCGTCCCCTGTGTATTGCCTGCTTCGTCCATCCTTCAGATGTAACAATACAACAGAGCAACAGATGGCTTTCCTTTTAGGGGTTCGAAAGGAAAAGAATGGCACCAACTATGGAAAAACCATATATCTTGCAAAACAACATCCTATCTTTGAGTATCGGAGGGAAGGGAATATGGAAAAACGCATAAACGATGAACCACTAGATAAAAATTTTACATGCCAAAGCATTGCGGTTTATATTGCCAGTATGTCAGGCACCAGTTGTCCCGGGTAATAGATATTTTTTAACCAAAAGAACTAGTAAATAAATTCATTCTCTAGCCTCTATTGAAATGTTCAAATACTGTCACCGAGATGAAAAATGATTACCATCAATTCTTCATATATAAAATCCTGGCCTCCATTGGAGGATTCCGGACCGGTCGTCATCCCACCAATTAGAATGAACAGTGATGAAAAGACCGCCTAATTCTGCAAAAGTAGATCAAGATATCATGAAGATGTTTAAACTCAACATTGGTTTTTCTTCCCATCCTCATATAAAGTGCTGAGTTATCCACTGGTTCATAAAATGAATTTTATAAGTGGAGAAGTTTCGCTTTTCTACCAGATAATCAAGACTAGACACAGATGGTTGACTAAATATTACCGCAACAACAAAAGCAAAATGCTTGATCTTTACAATAGGCCTTTGCAAATACAATCCGGTAATAAACCCCGCATTTCTGAAACTAAATGAAGCTGTTTCATTAAACACTCTCTCAGTTCAATCAAGTTATGCAGCTAATTTAAAATATCCAACTGCAAATCAAGATATGGAGAGGGAGCTATCATCATCAATGGAACCCATACCTTCTTCAGAAGCCTCCCCTTTCTTGGGTTTTGCAATAGACAAGAAAAGGCAAAAACAGTGAACTGGATATTCGATGATTGACCAAACTAAAGAAAGATAGATATTTGATGAATGCCTGAATATACGGCCCAAACAACTCGGACGGATGATGGCTGGGGATGTTGATAAGGGAGAATTACAATGAGGTCCAAAAAAACAATTAAAAAAATAAGTCGCACAAATTGTCATTTTTACTAAAAAAACTGTTTATTATAAACTTTGAGGTTGTTATTAGAACCTTTTGATAATTATTTTTCTTTTGTAAGACTTAATTGTAATTTTCTGTATTGATAATCAGAAGTTCATGCATAAACAAATTGATTGTTTAACTCCTATACTTCCCATCAATTTTTAAATTAATATCCATAATTTTTTTTTATCCAAATCAATTTTTATAAAATGATTTTGTCATAAAAGTAGTTCGCATGTTGGACAGCGGTGCAGGCAACGTTTTCAGATTTAGAAACCACATTTTTCATACAAAGAAACCACAATCCACTTCTCATATACTCTGAAACTACTCTCTCTAATATTGTTCGCATACTCTCCCCCCCTCTCATTCAAACATTGGATCACAAGCCAAGCCAGAAGAGAGAGGCTATTAATACCAAAACAAGAAACGAGTAATGATACTCAGTTAGCTTCTAAACAAAGAGAGGCCTCCAGTCCAGTGCTATGATGAAATATATGACGGCGAAACCAAGTCCATGCTACCTCAGTACATCGAAATATTACACAGGAATTTATGGAAGCACGTATACTGATGATAATTTACATGTATGTGTGGGATGCAAAGAGTATTTTCAACCAGGCAAATAATGAACATTTCCTTCTGTCACGGATAAATATATTACATGACATCAGCAGAAATAGATATATTACATAATTGCTGAGCATCTTTAATTCACAAAGACAACAGTAATAATCATGACAGAAAAAGGACAGCATGGATGGATGTACTCCTAATTTGCCAGATTTTTTTGACCCTTTCAGCGTAGATTTCTGTAACAATGCCAGAACAATCTTAAGAAGCCTCCTTCCGCTTGTACCTTGAAGCACAGACTAGGTAAACCAGAAAATTTAAGATGCTAAGCCCAGCTAAAAGCCAGAAAAAGTAATCTAGGTGACCTTCATTCAAGTTATCAGCAATCCATCCAATCTGTCCGCCTTGTGTTGTTAGGTAAGTTACAACAGTGAGAATGAAGGAGCTCAGGTAATTTCCCAACGCAGTAGTCAGTAATGACAGGGCACTGCATAAACTCCGCATTGCATCCGGAGATTGGTCATAGAAGAACTCAAGCTGCCCAATGAATGTGAATATCTCTGCTGCGCCCAACAAGAAATACTGAGGGATTTGCCAAAATATACTCATGGGCACAGCAACTTCTTTATCAACAAGGCCAAGCTCCCTTGCAAGTTGTAGGCGTTTAATCTCCACAATGGCAGCTGCTGACATGCAAAGGACTGATATAAGAAGGCCAATTCCCATTCTTTGCAACTCTGAGAAGCCCCTTTCCTTCCCTGTAAATTTCCTTGCGATTGGAACAATTATCCTGTCATAAATGGGGACCCAGAAAATGACGCTTATGACATCAAAAGTTGAGAGGGAGGCCGCAGGAATGGTGAATGAACCAATACTTGTGTCCATCATTGATCCTTGTTCCACAAACATGGTGGACATCTGAGCATAAACAGCAGAGAAAACAATCCCAGTAGCCCAAATTGGAAACATACGGATCAATATTTTCAATTCCTCCACCTGGGTCACAGTGCAGAGTCTCCATGGATTTGAATAGTCCCCTCTTTTGATCTCAATATCAGAGACTATGGCTGCTTTATCAAGGCACCTTCAATGGGGGAAAAACAAAAAATAGAAAATATTTAGTTGACTATTAAAAGAATTTCCATTTCATTTGTTAGTATAAGAAAATTAAAATTAAAAACATGTTAAAAGTTCCAAGCTATGCTTCAGCCACAATGATATCACTTTGACAGGTTATTAATTAAATAAAATGAAAAAAAAATGCTAGAAAAAGAGTAAAGTCTTAGCATAGGTTTCTGCCAACGAAAGCTTTTCTATAAGCACAAATATTTCCCACCCAAAACTATTCTAGAAGATGAAAGAAACAAGTAGTAGTAGTAGTAATCATAATCAATCATTAACCTACCCCAGGGAGAAACTATAACAATAGTTTTCTGTAATTTCCAATCCCTTCTTACAAATTTTTTGAAAAGTGATAGTTCCTCCCTTTATAATATTCACATTAACATAGAAAATAATAATACAGGCTCTTCTTCACGATCCGGAGTACAAGAATTCCTATGCAAGCAAGGGTCTAAAATTTCAATAAACAAATTCTAAATGGTCAGATCAATATGAAATTGTTACAAATTAGGCAACATAAACGAAGACCGTTTCATAAAAAATATATACAACTAACGTGCTTTCACTTCAAACACTTGACACAGCAACACACACATGACAAGCAGATTGAAATAAACTGCAAAAATATATAAACCACACTGTGCAAATAGATCTCAAAACATGGACAACTAATTCCTAAAGTATGTTTAATAAGAATTTATGATTTTATGGTTGTACCTAGCCAATAAATGTTTTCTTCCTATCTATCAAAATGCTTAACTAAGCACGTACCATAACTAAGCGGGCCAAAAAAAAGTAACTAAACGACAACTAGCTGGCCAGACCCAGAGTAGAAAACTCTTCCTATACGACTGTAGTAGGGCCCACATTTCTCATCTCATACAAAAGCAATTAACTTCACTCTTAGATTAAGAAAGTCAAAAGAAAAGTCAGCATGCATACCAAAGGACCACCTTTTCCAATATTTGTGACAATAAAATAGGGACAAAAACCATTAGGAACAAAACAGAAAAGTCACAGTAGTGAATTACGTTAGTTCATCACTATGTGCCAGTTTCCTACTTCCTTCAATTGCAGAGCTCTTATCTGGGGTCTCAAACAGGAGACTACTATCCACCGGGACATCCAGATTCCGTTTCCTGAAAGATGCTACCACAACTTGGCACATTCTCGTAATAGGGCTTCCCCCTGGCTTTTGAAACCTATAGAGGGGTGTGCCTAAAAAGAAACTTACAATAGCTAAGCCCATAAATAAAGCAGGAATGCCAAATCCAAGACCCCAGCCTTCATTGTCTTGAATCCATACAATTAAACTGCTTGATACAAGAGCGCCTATGTTGATAGAAAAGTAAAACCAGTTAAAAAAGGATCCCTTCTTTATCCTTTCCTTAGGATCAGTATCATCAAACTGATCTGCCCCAAAAGATGACACACATGGTTTAATTCCACCCGTCCCAAGTGCAATCAGATAGAGACCAAAGAAGAACACAGCATATTGTGCAGGAGTAGCTGATGGACATACAGAACCCATACATTCTACAGGCTTTAATGCTGGAACAGATGCAGAAAGAGTCAATGTGCACATTCCCTGCGGAAAACAATCACATAAACATTTGAATGGAATTAAAGAACCATTACTAGAACACAAGGAAAAAGAACAGACAGATGAAATTCTGCTATGAAAACCAATTATTCCAAATAATGAGTTTATAATTTTTTCAGAAAAGGAGGGGCTCTTGAGATTTTCATGTTTGTCATCAAAGTAGAAATACTTCACTCTAAAGGAACCATGGATATGAGAGAAATAATCTTTTACGATGTGATACTCATCAAAGTAGATATACTTCATCAAAGTAGAAACTCACCTTTGATTTGTAAAATTAAATTGTCAAAAGAATTCAAATTTTAGTTAGGGACAAAGCAATTGCTTATGTAAGATACTGCAAATCATGTATCCCCAGGAGAAACTCAAAAAGTTATCAGAATTTGGCCTAATACAAATTTGCATTTCGCTTCATCTTACATCTACTGTTGTTAAACCTCAGAAACAACAAAAGTTATGTTAAGCAGTATTTAAGGGAATAACCACACAAATGAACTCCAGAAAAACATTAGCTTCCACTAAAACTTGGACCTTAGACCTCCTGTCTAAACCATTATGTTTTCCTATCATCATCAAAACGATAATTTCCATACTGTTTCATAATAGAATCCGGCAAGAATGACATACCCATAATCATTATCTCTCACAATGAATGTAGAACACCACAAAAAAGAACCCATAACAAAAAGGCGCTGGATCCTATTTGTTGTGAACGGGAAAAGAGAGATGGCAAGTTATGCAATATTTTCTAGATGAAAAAGCTACGTAAGTATATATTTACAAGGAAATAAATCGTTGAGAAGGAAGCAATTGTCCAGTATCTCCCCCAGTAAGCATCTGCAAGGACAGCTCCAATAAGAGGAGTAAGATAGCAAGTTCCTTGCCAGGTAGTGACATTTCTTGCGGCAGAGACATTGCTTTCATGTAGTTTACTTGTAAGATAGGTGACAAGATTTGTTGAGATGCCATAGTATGCTAAACGCTCACAACACTCATTGCCTGTAATCCATATTGCATAACAACGTTATGAGCAGAATATATCATATGATATGTGAGACCACCACAATCTTACCTAAAATAAATGGACAAGCTTTCCAATTGCCAGTATTCTGCTTAAGAACAGGCCTCCCCTTAAAGTCAACAGAGCCATCTCCTGTGTATGGTCTGCTCCTTTCGTCCTTCAGATATAATGTAAACAATTATACAACGGAGCAAGAAACCATTCTCATTTTAGTGGCTCAAAAGAAAAAAAACAGCATTAACACTGGGAAACCACACATTTTGCTAGGCAATGATCTATCTTTGAGCATCCGGGGGGGGGGATCTAGGGATGGACTAAGAAATTAAATAAGATCTTGATGGTAAAGAACTGTAGTTTATATTACTACTATGACAAGCATCAGTTGTCTTAGTGATAGATATCTTTTAACTACAATCAAGTGAATTGCTCTAAGAAACAAGGGGGAAAAAAGAAAAAAAAAAAATCAGTAAATAGATAAACAAAACATTCAGAAAAATACGATATCCACTCAATTAAGAAGTTCAAATTATGGAGCATGACAAGAGATAATTTAATTGATTAAAAGAGAATACTAAGAGGAAAACACAGACAAACACATGATTATGTCACCATTGTAACGCAATAACAAGCTTTGGCAAATCCGTGGAATGATAGGGTGCTATTGCAAGTTGTTATACAATTTAATCTGCCCCGCCCCACCAAACAAAGCCATCCCCACTAAAAGTGACACACAGTGTTCTTTTATCACGGCAAGCTAAATATCTCATCATATGAAACCTGCCTCCAGACAAAACAATATAAACGTAAAGGGTTTCAAAATCAACACTCCATACAAAGTTTATAACCCATTAAAAACAGATATTTATCATACATAAGCATCCTTGCAAAATCAACGACCTTCACTCAAGGATTCCAGATCGGTCAACACCGCACCGATTAAAATGGAAATTAACACAGAAAATGCACCAAGAAATTATTTTTTTTAATATTTTGTTGATAACCAAACGTACATCCAGAACATTTTTATTCCTCCTGATATGAAGTGCTAAGTACTCTAGTGGTTAACCGAGTGAATTTGATAAGGAGGGGAGCTTCCTACTCATCCAACTTACTACATATACACCGATGGTTGACCAAGTATTATCACAGTAACGGAAGAGGACATGGTTTATCTTTAGCATTTGCCTTCACCAAAGGAAAATAAATCAAAGTCATGCGGATCCTCAAACAGTCATTCAATGCAATCAAACTGTGCAACTAAATTAAAATATCCACAGCCAAAATAAGATATCAAGATGAAGAAGGAAACCTCAAGAAGAGCCTCTTCCACGAGCGAGTTATCATCCTCAACGGAACCCATATCTTCTGCCTCTTCCTTGGGCGCTGCAAGCAGTGAAAATAGGAGGAGATGGTGAAACAGATATTTTGCCAGATTCTCAGTATATACATACATACATATATATATATATAAATAAATAGTATATGCCCCAACCTCTTCAGATGGATGACGTAGAAGAAAAGGTCGCAGTTTCTCGATTTGCGCAAAACCGATATGATACCGCAGAATCCAGAGACCAGATTCGACTCAATAATTGAGAAGGAATTACTGAAATTGAAATTTGAAGGTAATAAAAGAAAAATCGAACCCAGAAGAAGATAAAAGGAGGAGAAATTAAGCGAAAATTTGGAATATAATATTCATGAGCAACTAGTCAGCGGGTAATTGCTCAGACAGAGGGAGAGACCGACCGCTTGATCACTCGTGAATGAACGAAAGCACAATTGAAAGGAAAGTTTCAATTCGTCATATTTTCCACTTTCCGACATTCAAGCGGTGAAGTGTTGATTAAGGGAACTTGTTGCTTGTGTTAGTTGGCAAAACCCTTTTTTGCTTTTTCAGTTTTTGCTTTCAAGTTTCAACAACTTTTCAAGTGTTTTTTTTTATAAAAAAAAACATAGAATTGATATGAAAAATACCATAAAATAAAAATAAAATTTTCATGCTTTTCAAATACTATCTCTAGTGATAATTAGATTTTAAAAATTGCATTTTAGGAGGCAAAACTTCTCACATATTTACTTGATATTGGTGGACAATATTTTATCTAAAAGAAAAGCATAAAATATTATATAATAAAACCTTTTGCATGCGTCAAGTTGTATTTTAAAAATATTATCCAGCCAATAACAGATGGAGCAGCGGGTCAACTTGTTTTTTGGCATCAAATAAAGCCTTCCAATCAAACGTGAACATCAACAACCTGAAACAAAATTCGGTCATTTCATTAATCCACAAACTGTAGTTTCTTAAAAGGGAACAAAACAACTGATTAATTATAAGGCTTATCCTAATCTGTGGTTGGTGCGGAAATAACAAGTAAAATAATTTATAGCTGATCCTGATCCCATCGCATCATATCATAATAGTGCCAATATTAGCAACTGACGAAGGCAAACTAAAGTATCTTTATTTAGGCTGGTTAAAAAAAAACGGGTATCTTTATTTAGACCCACAAAAACGTGTTGTGAAGTGGGCTTGAAGTTGTTAAAATGATATGGGCTTGAGCCCAGTCTTACAGCCACCAATGTTTCATTGGACTAGGCTATGCTGGAGAGGAAGTTTTCAAAATTCACGGCCCATAATAGAGAGGACCAAATTAGCATTTGGCAAAAAGGTAGGATCCAGCCAACAAGAGTTGGTCCAATTAGTAAGAAATTGACTCTAACCCATAAGGCTGTGAGTTTAAATCCCGTTATTGATTTGAAGACCTTGTTAGTGGGCAATCTGTAAATATATCTGTAAACGTTTTCTAAGTCTCGAGGCATGTCCTGACCCTTGTGAGCTCTCAAGATCTAACTCACTTAAACTTTGTTGTAGAAAAAAAAAAAAGGTAGGATCCACTCTTGCTGGGGGCAAACTAGAATGAGACCATGCATTGTATGGGATTTTAAAAAAATGAGTCACTTTATATTATTTATGAATATAAAAACCTTGTTGGCAAGAAAGGGCAAAAAAAACAAAGAAAAGAGAATCCCAACAAAATGTCTTTAAATATCCGAATTTTAAGAGTCTTGTTTGCTCAATTTTAATAACAATTGACAACATTTAAAAAGCAAATGATAACATACTTTTGTAGTCATTCCTAGTTTGGGATTTTGAAATTTTTGAGGTATTTTTTAAAAAAATTTTCCAAAAAAAAATATAAAACGTAGATTTGTCAATTAACAAGGAAGAAGATAAAGGTGAAAATAATCTCTTTGGGGTCAAAAAGGGGAAAAAGTTCCCACAGAATAATACTACTATAACTCCAAAAGATGGTTAATTTCGGTGATTTGCCATATCTTTTTATTTGATTCTATCTTTCTTGGCTTTGTCTGGTGTTTCATTTTCTATTCATTCGATATATTTATGTTCATTTTTATTTTTTGCTCATTCTAAAAATTCAATCGTATGAAGGGTATGAGAGAATAAGAGTTTTAATAACATCTTGCTTAATTAGAACGAGTGGCAATATGGGAAAGCATTTTACTGATTATTGTTTGGCTTCAAGTAAATAAAATGGACAATTATAAATTAACCATCAACCAAACACCCCCTTTTTTTCCCCCAACAAAGGAAATGCACTAGAATATAAGAAGATACATCAGTTCGAAAACAATCAACCAAACACCCTCTTATTGAATTAATAAATAAGTAGTACGAGTAGTTAGCCTAGCATTGACTGTTGATGAGGAGTCAAAAGAGAAGTCAATAATTCTAGTCTAGAGAGAGAAAAATAAGGCCAACAATTTTTTTTTTTTTTTTATGCTGTCTTTTGAGTATTTGAGCGTTTTCCAATTTACAGAAATTGAACTTAATTTAAAAAATCGTTTTTTTTGGGGGGAGGAAAGAGGAAACGACTTGAGAAGAACAGTCCAGCAGCACAGGAATTCTTGTCCAGAGGAAAATAGTATTAAGTGAGGCACATATAAGACGCTACAATATATACTACCTCCGGCTCTAATTATAAGGTCTGATTTATAGATTATAAATGAAATCTTATAATTAGAATCAGAAGTATAATATATTTATATATATAATTCTGCTAATATTGGTAAAAAAAATTGCCATGGATTAAAAAGGCACTCAATTTGCTAGATAGAAGGAAAGCGTCAATGACTTGCGTAAATAAATTTTGAAATTTCTTAAGGACTTTTTAATTACTCGCTTTCTTCTTAATTTTCTTCGTCCCTCATTTGATTTCCATGCCACAAAGGATAACGTGCGTTTACTAATTAATTCAATCTATAATTTCCATTCAAACAATATAATTAAGCAGCAAACCCCAAACCCACACAAACCTACGTGTTCTTGACTTGATCAAATTGCATTTTCTTTTTCATTTTTTTAGCATCATATAATTATTATATACTACCTCCAGTTTTTAATATAAGATCTCATTTGACTTTTATTTTGGTCATAAATATAAGATCCCATCCATATTATCTCTCTCTTTTTTTTAAAGATAGTATTTCTAATAATGGTAGTTTTAACTAATAAATTTGATTAGTAAATATATTTTAGGAAAGACAACACCTATTTATTATATATAACTAACTTAACTTATTTTCTTAATCTACTCAATTTAATTAACTAGTTCTTATATTTAAGTCCAGAGACAGTAGTCAAAAAAGTGGAGCCTACGTACTCCGACGCTGAGCACAATCCTGATTCTAGCCATTGATAAAAGAAGATGTAATCTGGATCGTTAAGGCCGTATTGCGATCTCAGCCGTCCGAGACTTAAGTCAAACGACGTCACTGCTGTTGATTCTGTCTGAGGTCATAAACCTCTTTGAACGACCGAAATGGCACCACTTCAGTCCAAATACAACCAAAAAGTCGTCCTATCAATTCCATTTCCATATAGGCTACGCAATTGTTCAGTTCCCCAAAAAAAAAATTGAAAAATTATTCTAACAACTAAAAAAATAAACTGCATTTTTGTTAATGGCCATAAAAATTCCAACCAAAGAATATATTCTAACAACCACCCAAAAAAAAGAAAAGAATGCATTATGAATCACGATAGCAGCATGCCAAGGAAAACAGTATAAGTTCTTGATTCGACAGTAAAATTTCTTTCTTCTTTATATAAAGATGATGGGGGAAAAAACCAGAATAATAAAAAGCACTGAGAAGCTGCAAATGGCTCTCAAAAATTATAATTAGAGTATTCGTAGTTTTATATTTATGTATTTGATTGATTATCATAATATGTTGTTTAGTATAATTTACACCATTTTTTAAAAATAAAACGTATTCCCGGCCCAGACTAGTAGTAAAATATTTTTTTTTGTAAATATAGATATATAATCTGAGCTGTTTAAAAAACTAATAATAATAAAAGTGGATATTGTAAAATAACATTAAAAAAAAAGTAATTTCATTTCTCACCATTGTATGTTTCCTTCCTTCTTTCCCATACGAAATATTAGCTTGCAATAAAAGTCAAACAACAAAAAGAATACTGTTAGATAGGCTTGTCACTTTTGAAGAAAAAAATATTTTCAAAAGCTCTTTTATATAACATTAAATATAATAAACATTTTATTTTTAAAACTAATAAAAATAAACAGAAACTCTTTAAAATGCTTTAGCAGCTAGAAGATACTCCTCCGGTTCTAAATATATAACCTAATTGTTGAATTGATTTTAATCCTAAATATAATATTTATTTCTCATATTTATCAATTTTTTCTAAATTATTTCTATGGACACTCTCTCAACCATAATCAAGTAGAAGAAAGAGGGAGGATATTAAAAAAGATGATTATAGTGTTTTACAAAAAACATATCATATTTTTTATAATTAATTAACTTACCTAACTTTTTTAATCTAATCAAATTAGTTAAATAGGTCTTATATTAAAGATCGGAGGAGTATATATTAATTATTTTTGTATTATATTTAGTTTTTTCTGGTAGATTTTAAATTGCCGCAAACATGGAAATAATTAATGCATATCCATGCGTGTGTGTGTTTTAAGCCCAAAAATTGTTGACGCATTTTTCCGAATATATGCAGAACACGTGGCTATAGCTCAAAACAGCGTTCGTGGGACCTTCTAGCTGTTTTCGCTGACCAAAGAAACAATCAAATATGGGAATAAAGAATTTATGAACAACTTTAATACATTCATTATGAAGGGTAATAAGTTTTTCCGGAAAAATAGAAAAGAAAAAAAGAACGAGTTCTTTAACGATATTGCATCCTCTCTAGCTAATTTTTATTCTTCAAGGTTATTTGATACTTAGTACTTGGTCAGGACCCACTTAACTATACCCTCATCTTTTATTAAGCATCGTATAATATCCGAATTTGCGCGTATTATTTTCGTGGGAATTCGTATGAAAAGGGCATCGGAACTTATATACTACCTCCGGTCCTAAATATTACATCTGATACTAATTATAAGAGCTAGTTAACTTATTTGAGGAGATTAAGAAAATAAGTTAAGTTAGTTATTTGCAATGAATAAGTGTTATCTTTACTAAAATATCTTTACGATCGAATCAATTGTATTGGCTAGAACTATCATTATTAGATAGACTTCTTTGACAAAAAATATATAAATATGAGAGACAAAATAAATTAGGGTCTTATATTTAGAATCAAAATAAAAGTTAAACGAGGTTTTATATTAAGGACTGGAGTTAGTATAAGAGTTAGTTGACTAATTTGGAGAGATTAAGAAAATAAGTTAAGTGAGTTATTTATAATAAATAGGTGTTATCTTTCTTAAAATATTTTTGCTAATTAAGTTTATTGGTTAAAACTATTATTATTAGAAGGACTATTTAAAAAAAATAAATATAATAAATAAAATATATTAGGATATTATATTTAGGATTAAGATAAAACTTAAACGGAAGTCTAGCATCGTCTTTTTTGAACGCAGAGGGACGCGAGTTTGAATTGAGCTTGGAGCAAAGTAAAACGCGTGGAATCTTGACGAGCAAAGACGATTCTTCATTTGGCTTTATGACTACATCAGACAGATAGAGCAGCCTGTCGTACCATGATATAAAATTAATATAAATAGCCTCCAACGTTGCCTTGTTCAAACCCTCCTCCTCAACATATACCAGAAAAACACATTTCTTCCCAGTTTGTTTTCTCTGTGTTTTCCCTCTTCTCACAACACCACCACAAGATGCACTTCACCATGTCTCTCCCAAAACCACCTTCTGAAATCTCCTTTCGCTCCGCTTTTGCTCCTCGCTTTGCCAACCACTCTCTTCCCAGGTTACCTTCTTTAATTTAATCAACTAAACATATGCATGCTCTTGTATATTTCTCTATTTGAATGCTTTTCTTTTTTTTTCTCATCAAAAGTATGTGTATATTGAGGTTGCAGGTTGAGTATGCCGGAGAAGGCGATGCCGAAGGAGGCGGCGTACCGGAACATTCACGACGAGCTGAAGCTGGACGCGGATCCCAAGCTGAACTTGGCATCCTTCGTGAACACTTCCATGGAGGAAGAATGCAACAAGCTCGTCATGGAATCCATCAACAAGAACTACGTTAACATGGACGAGTACCCAATGACCACCGACCTTCACGTACGTCCTCGTCGGTCTTCCTCTTCATAAATACTGATGCTGTTATTATGTGTATGATTCATGTGGGAATTGATGAATATTGTTACAGAATCGATGCGTGAACATGCTGGCAAGATTGTTCAATGCTCCGATGGAAGAAAGTGAAAGTGAGAGCGGCGTGGGAGTGGGAACGGTTGGATCCTCGGAAGCCATAATGCTGGCGGGGCTGGCCTTCAAGAAGAGATGGCAGAACATGAGGAAGGCCCAAGGCAAGCCTTTCGACAGGCCTAACATTGTAACGGGCTCCAACGTTCAGGTGTGTTGGAAGAAATTTGCGATGTACTTCGAGGTGGAATTGAAGGAAGTGAAGATGTCGGAAGGGTGCTACGTGATGGACCCAGCAAGAGCGGTGGAGATGGTGGACGAAAACACAATCTGTGTTGCAGCAATCCTGGGTTCTACTTACAATGGCGAATTCGAAGACGTCAAGCTCCTGAACGACCTCCTCCTCGGAAAGAACAAACAAACTGGGTAAGCAGTTAACAATATGAATGGAATTCATCTGCTTGTACTGAAAAGAAATGTATAACTAAGAACGATGAATGTTATTATGTACGTAGATGGGAGACGCCGATTCATGTGGACGCGGCAAGTGGAGGTTTTATTGCTCCATTTTTGTACCCAGAGCTTGAGTGGGATTTCAGGCTGCCATTGGTGAAGAGTATAAATGTGAGTGGGCACAAGTACGGACTGGTTTATGCAGGCATTGGCTGGGTGCTTTGGAGGACCAAAGAAGACTTGCCTCAGGAGCTCATCTTCCACATCAATTACCTCGGAGCTGATCAGCCCACCTTCACCCTCAATTTCTCCAAAGGTACGTGCTGCTCCTTAATTAACTATGTGTATACTTTTTAAACTTATTGTATATATCATTAATCAAACTTCGTCAATTACTGCAGGTTCTAGCCAGATTATCGCCCAGTATTATCAGCTGATTCGCTTGGGCAAAGAGGTGAGCAAATAGTTATCAAATACTTTTCATCTTGGCCAATGCTGCTACTTGCTATATACGTACAACCTCAAGTAGTTAACTACCGCAACTGCTAATTAATCGCATTAATCCGAAGATAGAGTACTTAATTATGGATATCAAGTCATTTGCTCAAAATGATCTTATCTTATTTGTGGGTTTTTTATTTCCCTAGGGCTACCGTAATGTGATGGAGAACTGTAGAGAAAATGCGATGGTTGTAAAGGAAGGGATAGTGAACACTGGATGCTTCAACATAGTTTCCAAGGACGAGGGCGTTCCTGTGGTGGTGTTCTCGCTCAAGGACAGAAGCCGGCACGACGAGTTCAAGATCTCGGCCATGCTCCGCCGGCACGGGTGGGTCGTGCCGGCGTATCCGATGCCGCCGGGCGCTGAACACATTATAGTGCTGCGTGTAGTGATAAGGGCCGATTTCTGTCGCCAAATGGCCGAACGCCTTGTGATGGACATCACAAATGCGTTGCACGAACTTGAAATGCTTCCTCAATACAACTCCAATAAGAGTGATCAAGCTATTAATACTTCTGGCAGCATTAATATGAAGGATGATCAGAATAATAGGAATGTCGAAGGAGTGAAGTGGATTGCGTTGGATGTTCAAAGACAAATCATTGCTCAAGAAGCAATAAACAAGCGCCAAAAAATCTTGACTGCCTAACTAGTTGCTTATTTGAGAATTTTAATTTGCAAGCATAAGCTTGACTATAGATTAACTAATTAACTAACTAGCTTTTGTACTAATTGTTCGATCATTAGTTTGTTTTTTTATTGTTTTCTTCACAGTTTTTGTTGTATGTTCTGGTATAAAATTTGATATTATTTATTGTAATTATACCTCATATCCCGTACATATATCGTTTATATTAATTAAGAATAGGGTATTTGCTTGTTTAAATAATTATATGTAAATATGGGCATTGTTATACCCCAATTAACGCAGGGATTAAGCGTTATGGTTTAGTCAGATGGATTTGTATGTGTCAAAATTATCTTGTTCATTAGGTAGGGCAACGCCAGAGAGGGTTTGCTTCTCTTCCATTAGTGGGAGTTCCCCTTCCAATGTACCGCGACTAACCTTGTTTTTCTTTTGGGGCTTAGTCCCCCTTTTTGGACTTTTTTTCCCCCTGTGCGTGTGAATTTTCAGTTTAAATTTAAAAACGGTGATAAAGAATAAGCGATTATTAAAATTTAAGTGATTTATGTTTGATCGAAACATAGCTTAATCACGCGGTCTTATGCAATGTTCAGAGAGCCTTTCCCTTTCATAAATGATAAGCATAAATACCCCTTCAGTCATAGATATAAAACTCTTTTTATAATATAAATTGCACTACAAAATATAAAACCGGCGGAATATAATTATTACAAGAGCATTTTATCTAAGATATAGGATCTAGCTAATTGACGAATCCTTGACTTAAAACTTAAGTCGCTTGCATTATATATATATATATATATAAGCATAAAGCATGCGGCAAAATTGAAGACCAGAAAAAAAATAATACTGAAATCTTAATTTAACACCTATATCTGGAAGCATCGAGAATGTACAGCAAATTCAACATCATCATATATAGATGTTATGAAATTCACACACACATATATATGTGAATAAGATTTTTATTTTGGGAAAAATAGAATAAAAATGGAGAGCCATAGAAGGTACTGCAGTACTAGTGGGAGAAAAAGGAGGGGTTCTTTCTTGGTACCAATAACAAATACACGTGTAGAGGTATTAGAAGTGAAGGAGGGGGTTAGTGGATGAAATTATGAGGCATGTAAAATGGCACCAGGATTTTGCCTCCCCAACTTTCTGCATGTTCACACTCTCTTTTCAACATATACCTACCCTCTCCCTACCCCCTCTTTCCGTTCTCACCATATTAAACAATGCTCCATGCCCCGAAAGGAACACTAGAGAGATCACAAACCCATTCTCTTCTCTCACCAACACTCCAATTCCAAATTATTATTCAAATACTAACATGTTGGTATATATTAGTACCTCTGCTACTTAATAGAAGAGTTCGTTGACTAATTTGAGTATATTAAGAAAATTAGTTAAATTAAATATTCATAATAAATAAGTATTGTTTTTCTTAAAATATCTTTACTAATTAAATATATTAGTTAGAACTAATATTATTATAATGACTACCTTAAAAAAAATTAAATACATATAAGAAATCAAATGGATTGAGATCTTATATTTGGGACCAGAATAAAATAAAATTTGTATTAAAAAATATCCTTATTTAGTGGATGTAATAATTAACAGGGTTTTTCTAATTGAGACACCCTAGAAAGGTAAACATGAAAGTAATGCATAAATTTCATCAGCCAACCTACTGAAAGATGCGCGTTAATTAAAAAGGTACCTTGTAATTTTGAAGGGCTTAAGCAAAAGCTCACTAGCTAATCAGTCTAAGTCAATCAATTAAACTGAGTGGCGAAATCCAGAGATACGCTCATTTTAATAACTTTGTATTGGTTCATTATTATACAATCATGCAATTTATTTCATGAACTGGTATAGCTATTTGCTTACTGATACTACTCAGATGAGTGAGAGAGATCGCATATCAATCCAGTTTCTCAAAAAACTGAACCATCATTACATGTTGAATGCGCCCAAGCCACAACCACCCCACTACTGCTTTTTGCCCTTATATAAACCTTGCCTTATTGGTCCATACAACCCACAGTGCAACACTACTGAATCTATCTCATCACAATCATTCTCAATATATTTCAGGTTTTTGCACAAATTCTCAATTATGGCGTTGAACAACGTTAACATTCTGACCGTGACAGTGTTGATCCTCATGGTGGTGACTTCAGAGATGGTGGTGTTTGAAGCGGAGGCAGCAGGAGAGTGCGGGAGGACTCCGATAGGGTCGGCGGCGGCAAGCCTGGCACCGTGCCTGGCGGCGACTCGGAACGTGAGGGCGAGGGTGCCGCCGGCATGTTGTGCCAGAGTAGGTGCCATGATTAGGATGTCTCCGAGATGCCTCTGTGCAGTGCTGTTATCACCCATGGCACGGAGCGCCAGGATTAATCCCGCCATTGCTGTTACTGTTCCAAAGCGATGCAACATCAGGAACCGACCTGCTGGCAAGAAATGTGGAAGTAAGTTTAAGTTTCACTTACATATAGCAATATCTAGCTCTTTTCTCTCTCCAAATCATAGAAGATATTGCAGTCTAAGAGAAATAAACGCAAATTCTATATGGTGGTAATACGGGTGGCGTGGCCCGTGTCAAGTTCAACCCACGTGCATCGGGTTGGAAAGTCTTGTTTAAAAGCAGGTTAGTTTTTAGGTAACTAGCCAACAATTTTTTTTTTTTATCTTTTAATTTTTTTCTTATTCAATATTAAAAAAAATAAAGATATTTTTGTTTTTTCTTAAAATATTTTATTAGAAGTACCAAATAAATTATATAAATATTTTTTTAAAATTTTTTTGATAGAATATTATATATAATTATATAATTAAAATAATTTTTTAAAAAATTTAAAAATAAAAAATTAAATACGGGTCAGTCTGTGGGTTGGTGGACTAACCCGTGATTGATTGCGGGCCTGATAATATGGGTTAGAAAAATTTGTTTATCAGAGTTGATTACTATCATTTTTTCCGGATTGGCAAGTTGAATATTATCAGCTCTGCACAATATCACATGTTTTCAGTAGTACAATATGAGTTTTGTTTTGATAAAATTTATGATGTTATGTTATTGCCATTGATATATGTATGTGTGCGGACAGGATACACCGTTCCCTGAAATGAGAAGCAAAGGGTAACGTTTGCAGAGATATAGAGTGGTGAAGGAGGAGGAGATCAGAGAGCTCAATAAGCACTGTCGTCGTGTCACTGCTTCTGTACTGCGACAGTCGTCTCTTCGGATAACTCATAATATTCCGTGTTACGTTGTTGTTGAGTGTTTGTATTTTGTGTGTTTGTGTCTTGCCTGTCTTATGATAATTTAAATGGATACTGTTCCTTTCCACTTAATCACCTTTGTTATGATGGGCTATGACCTCATATACAGTTAGGTGGGCCCAGTCTATTCCAGAATATTTACTGAATAATATTACACTTTATAAATTGTTTGGTCTTCTTCACTCTTCAACAAATTTCATAGCTTATTATATATTTTTAGACGTTCTGCGTAAAAAGTTAACACTATTATATTGCACCAGAAATTAATTGAGAAGATATAGTTAATAATGGAAAAACAGTCCAATTTCAGTTGTAACAAAAAGCATTAATCCCTCCTTCGCCCAAAAAAAAAACATTAATCCGGAACAAAGTTTACATTTTTGGGGGATCAAATTCACTATTTTTGCTTTGAATCAAAACATTCACAAATTAACTTCAGGAAAAACTAATTTTGAATTCGGTCCTTGTGTACACTGTACCGGTTCCTCTTGATCTCATCTCACGCTTCACTATTGACCTCTTAACACTATTACTGTTAACTGAGGTGTGGCAGACGTTTTTGCTGGCGGTTGATTATGCACGCACATGGGCATGGCTGTGACATGTCTCCCTTTTTGTCCATATATAGTTTCTTTTTTTTAAAAAAAATATCTTGGCAGCTCCTTCTCGGTGACAGAGTTCTTGTCCTCGACCGAAACAGAGGCTCTTTGGTCCGGTACCCACTGGAATCCGCCGGTGGCATCTTCGAGCTCACTACTCTGTCCTCCATTAAAGCTTCATTATTCCCCACTGCGCCTTATGATTATCGTGAAGAAGATGAAGAAGAAGAAGAGATCAAAGAGAAAGTCGTCTTTATGCTTTGACCTCCTTAACAGTCCTCAAAGGGGGGTGGGGGGGGGGAGAAAAAGATTGACACGTAAAATGTAGCAACGGAAACCGTCAACACGTAATATCCATGGAATAATAACAAGCATTTAATTCAAACAAATCAATTTTTTTTTAAAAAACTTTATTCATTTGTAGTCCTCATATTTTTGAGTAATATTAATTTCCTTCTCTTTTTCACTAAGTCTTGTCTCATGAGTTATGACCTCCATTAGACTTCCTTGTTTTGAATCCACATGATGCATACATATATATAACCGCGATCAAAACAACTCAATATTGCTTACTTCATACATGCTCAAACCAATTCCTGGTAATTATGAACTAATTGAAACTTAATTCCATGCTTAATCCTGTTTGATGAAGGAAACAATACGACGCAGCATGGTAAGAGCATTCTCGCAGCTTGGCCTGTACATGTGAAACACATGGCCTTCCTCCTTCGTCTCCATCACCTCCACATCTCCAGAAAACCCATTTCTCTGCAACACTTCTCTGTAGTTCCATCCTCTGTCCTTCAACAGATCCTTCTCTGCAACACAAACAAGCACCCTCTTACAATCTAGCTTCCCCGTGTTAGGATCCTTATCCGGGTTAATCAACGGATCATCCGATCCCGACGTGTTCGGACATGCAAATCGCCACAGATTATCCGCCTTCGCCGCGGATTCAGCATCGTTTAGCTCGCATCCAATTCGTTCTGCGCCCCAGAAATAAGGGTGCACCAGAGCAATGCCTTCAAGCTTTACGCCCGGCGGTTTCTCTAACCCGATCCGAATCGCCATGTGGTGTGAGAGGTTAGCACCCGCACTGTCCCCAGCAAAGAACACTTTCCCCAAATCCGCGTGACGATTCAGCCACTCGTCGGGGCCTTTACCGGAGGAATGGGAAGCGACCCATTTCAGAGCAGTCCACGAATCCTCATGGGCGGTCGGAACGGGGTGCTCAGGCGCCCTCCGGTAATGGACAGAGACGCCGATGACGTTGGCCTGAGAAGTAATAGCGTTGAGGTAGCTGTGGTAATTTGGGGAGAATGGGGTTTCGATGCAGAAGGCACCGCCATGGAAGTAAACAAGAAGAGGGAGTCTCTGATCTGGGTTTGTAAGTTTGGGAAGGAAAATCCTGGCGGATACGCCGTCGTCTTTAGAAATCACGACGTCTTTGGATTCGACACCGGTGATGAGATCGACGCCAGGAGGAGCAACCTCTTCGCCGGCAAGTCTCTCAATACGGCCGTCTTTGTAGACTTTCATGATGGGGGAGAGGTCGTAGGCGAGTTGGTCGTCGGAGTGGGCAGAGGTAGCAGAAGAATCCATGGTGGAAAGCGAAGAAGAAGTAGAATGTGAAGTAGCGTTTGATAGTTTCAGAGAGGGAAGACGAGGAGGAGGAAGGTGGTGGGTGGGACGAGGAAGAGATAAAGGAAATGAGTGGCTGCGAAAACCATTGGAGATTAGATAGTTTGGGTGAGTGTGGACAACATTGAAAGCTGTCTTCATCTTCCCTCCTTAGTTGACTGACCGCACAGTCTAAGAAAGGCACGCGAACAAAAAGCATATATTGGAACAAGTATTTATAAAGAAAAATTATAGAAATAATGGTAAATATTAACAAGCTGGTATTTTTACATTTTACGATATGTTTATCCTATAGAGCTTAAAATTATTATATATCTCTTCAACTCAAGTAAAAATCTAATGTTTACCAAAATGAAAAGAATTAAGTTGAAATATAATAGAGTTGGTCGTCATATACTTATTTAATAAGATATGATATATATTGAGAATATTATGAGAAAAATGATTTTTATAATTAATAAATAGGAATATGGTTGAAAAGACCATAACGTCCTCGTGATTATATATTTTCAAAATAAATACTCCCTCAAGTTTTAAATATAAGACTCATTTTGTGGTGTAATTTATAATTATCGGAAGAGTATTTCAGAACCACGGGATCAATTAAAAAAAACTTGTGAAAAAGGTACCCAGCCAAAAAATAAAACAAGGAAATGAGGAGAAAGTGACGTGTTGGTGAGGATTTGTTTAACCACTGACAATCACATAGTTCCTTCTAATTAACGTAAAACCAAATACACGTTTGAGAAATGTGTGAGCTTAATTAAGTCGCACGTGGTTGTCAATTAAAATCCTGTTGACATGCATTCACGGGCGTTTGTCAAATACAAGTGGGCGAGCAGCTGCAATCGTTATATGACTATTACGATCTACAACTCCCTACCCTTTGTCATATTCTTCCCCCATCTTGTGGATCATATTCCTATTTCATTTTGTTTTTTTTTAAATAAAAATATTGTTGTTTTTTTTTCAATCTTATTTATTTATGTTTTCATTTCCTTAAGAATCATTTTACGTACCAAAACAGATGATCTTGGATTATTAGGTTTGTTGCCTGCGATTACTTGATATGTTTTTATCTAGATATATGTATCATTTTATTAGAGATAAATTTAATTGAGACACTATCAGACACTAAATATGAGCACTTCTTTTTCGTAAAAATTTAAATCTTGATTCGTCATATTATAAAAGATTAACCCCCTCAGTTCGACTAATTTTTATTGGTTCATTAGTCCACATGTTTTATTTTACTAAAAAAGTTAAAATTAAAATGTCAAAAGCCGAAGGCCCATGTTAAAATTCTGCATCGTAAGAAAAATTTAAACTTGGAGCAAGAAAAAAGATTGGAAATGATACTTCTTCCTATTTTTGGCATGAGAATTAGTCAGAGATGAATGTTCTGCTAATCCATTTTGTGCTAGGTTATAAAGAATTTATTGATAAATAGGAGAAGATAGCATATTATGGGTGTGTTTAGATTAGCGATGGGAAAAGTTACTTTTTTCCAATCTGATTTTTGTCAAAGTTAGATTAGGTAAAAGTTAGGTAGTATGTTTAAATTGACTTTTATAAAAAAAAATCAGTTTGAGAAATTGAAACTTATTTAGATAATTAATAAAAAAATAAGTTTAGATGTAAAATAACTGAAAATGATATGAAGTTTATTAAGTAATATATATCTAATATTATATGTATATAATGTGACAATTGCAAAAGAAATATTGAAAATAAAATTATAAAAACTAAAAAAAAATAATTTGTTCGGAAGAAATTGAAAAATACTAAAATACTCCATATAGTTCAAAATATAAAATAAACTTTGTTGGAGGGTTTTGGTTTTTTATAAAATAACATTCATTTTTATCTCAGCATTTAATAATTTTTTTTTCAATTTTACTCCCTATATATTCTCTTTTCTTTTTTATTTATTCATTGTTTCTCTTACTTATTTTCTTCATTAATAAAGGCATACTTAAAAAAAATACATACTTTACAAATTTATTATTTTAAATTGATTTTAACTAATTTCTTGATAAACATAAATGGATAAAATTTATTTGATTTTTTAAAACTGAAGTACTTAATTAAATATATTTAATGGATAAAAAAACATATAAATCAAAATATGTACATGGAGTATTAATCAAATTGAATGGTGACGCAGCACAACAGCATCTTTGTTGTTGTCTTCCCCCCCCGGGGGAAACCACAGGTACAGACAAATGCGCATGCAGAAAGAGGGCAAATAGGTAGGTAAAAATTTAAAACATAATTAATGCTCCTAGTGGTTTCTCTCACTGCACCATACCACCATGCCATGAAAGCAAAAAAATGGAGTTTCACTTTAAAAGTTCATTTAGCCTCAAAAGTCATATTTCAAAAACATGAATCCAAACAGTATTTTAATCCAAAAAGTTACTTTTGCCTGTGAAGAAGCTCGTTTGGACTACCAATTATGATCCTAAACACATCCTATCTTGACAAACAGGGATGTTATGATATTGTGAAATTAGCTCTTTGGTTCTCTTAGGGTTCGTTTGGATTAGCGATTGGAAAAGCAGCTTATAGAAAAAGTAACTTATAAAAAAGTGAAGTTGGTAAAAGTTAAATTGGATAAGCTGAATTGTGTTTGGATTAGAGTTCAGACAAGCTAGTTTACAAAAATGAGATTGGAAAAAGCTTGTTTGGATTATAGTTGAGTAAAAGTAATTTTGACTGAAAAATTACCAAAATAGGCATGAGTTTTAATAAATAATGAAACATGATTAAAAAAATAATTTCACATAATACAATGAAATTAAAATAATTTAATATGAAGAAGTCATAAAAAATATTTTAAATATAAAGTGAAACATGAAAAAAAAAAAGTATATTTTTAGGAGCATATTTAAAAATAAAAATATATTTCTAACTTATTCATTACTTTCAACTAATTTTAATTGATTTTTTATTATTTACAAATTAGTTATTTGAGGCTTATAATAAGAACCAAAAGAAGTAATAAATTTCTTAACTTTTTCTCTCTTCATATTTCAAAAGCCATAAGCCATAAGCTGTTAATTTTAGCTTATAGCTTATTGTAGCTTTTCAGACAAAAGCCCAATTGCAAAAAAGTTGATCCAAACAGACTCTACTTTTGTCAATCGAGCTTATAGAGCTTATACTTATAAGCTCCAAATAAGTGTTGCCAAACAGGCACTTAATCTGTGATTGATCGCATTACTAGTATGCACCCACCACGAGAGAGAGATGAAAGGAAAAACACCTTTCGGCAGCCTTCCTTGGATGGTTATTTTTCTATTAAATCTGCTTACCATTTTTGGATTGTAGGTACAGAAAGACTGATGGATAAGTTTTGCAGTAATCTATGGAGATGGCAGGTCTTGGAGAAGATTAAGACCTTCATGTGGTTGTTCTCCCATGGGCAAGTACACTTCGGAGCTCGAAATGAGATAGTGTATAACATATTCCAATGCTTGTCCATTTGGATGTACATAGGTGGAAGGCTCAATGCATATGATTAGGGATTATGCAAATGCAAAAAAATCAATAGAAATCTGTTATTTGTCCAAAGATGTAGCCAAATTTTACAATGCTTCAAGGAATGGAGAGGTGAAATGGAATTTGAAGAATGATGTAGGAAAACAATACACCAAAAAAGTTCAATGGGCAAGATTCTTTAGATACATTTGTTGGGATATGTGGATAGATTAATGCAACAAGCTTTTCAACTCAACTATTACAGGAAGGATGACAAATGCTCACAACAATGGGATCAAGATTTATTAGGACAATGTAAATTTTATACACAGAGATCTAGGATGGCAGAACATCCAAGAAGAGTACAAGATAATTAATTATATACTTCTAAAAGTTGATAGATCGATGCTCAAAGATGATAAAAGTGGATGTGATGGTATAATCAGAAATGTTACAAATAGGTGGATCTGTGGCTTTAGTTACAAGCTAATAGCCATTCCTTCGATGATTGCTGAAGTACAAGATATCTTAAATGGTTTCAACTTTTGTTAGACTAAGGGATATAGGAACATTGGTGTTTACAGTGATTGTATTGAGGTTTTTACTATTATTTTAAGGGGTTGTGATAATAATCACCTCTTTGGGGATATTATTGATGATATTAGACTTTTGTTACAAAGAGATTGGCAGGTGAATTTGTATCACGTGAATAGGGAGGAAAATGGGATGGTTGATAGGATAGCAAGATTAGCCCACAAACTAGAAAATATTTGGTGTCCTTGATCAACCACCTCCTTTTAACTAAGAGGTTGAGATTAATGAAGTAAGATCCGCTTTGTTCTCTTGTGTCTTGTTGTAAGTGTTGAAATGAAATCGATATCTACCAGGTTTAGCCAGATCTGTATGATACATTGGTCTACATGGTCCCACAATGAGTAAATTCATGACCCATTCCCAGGCTAGTTTTTAAAATTGGAAGGTTCTCACTCAGCTTTTGTTAATTTCTTTCTTTGCCATAAGGTTAGATGCTACTATGCTACGAACAGGTTAGATTCAATGAGACTACTCTAGCAGTAAACAAAGGTTTTGAATTTTTGTCACGAGAGAAAATCTTGAGCACGCTTCGCACTAGAGTTAGTAATGGGTTTTATTTCTATATAACTTATCCCAATTTATATGGTTAAATTTTAAATTTAGCTAGCGCGCAGAGTCGAAGCACTCCTCGTCCGGTCGTCCTGCCCGCGCGGGGTATACTTAATGGATTGCGGCGTTTGGTAGGAACTATTGCGAATTGCCCAAATGCCAGGCCCTGCTAAATCCATCAAATTAGCCAACCCATCTTCTTCTCCTTTGTAAATGATTCTCACTCATGGCATTGGTCCCCTTGATTCTTCTTCTCCAGCTTACGCCTGGCAAAGGGGCGGCACGAAGAGAAGGAATCGATCAGTCATGCTCTCATGCCTGCTACTGATAAACAATCTGGGAAGAAATCGCAGTTTTCAGTGGGGACATGAGGGGGTTTTCATCGTTAGCATCACCCGCCCGGTTGTCATCTGCACTGAGAAATCCTCCTGAAGCAGCCCAGTCTCTTCCAAAGGAAGCCCGAACTTCTTTAAAAGGTGAGCCCTCACTTAATCGTCCGAATAAATCAAAAGGTGATACTACCAAAGTTGATCATGCATATATTTCCCAAGTATTATCGAGAGCCGACTGGGTGTTACTGCTAGGACACGAGCTAAACGCTAAGAGGATCGTTCTTAATTCTCATTCAGTTATTAGTATCTTTCAGAACCTGGAAAACCCATCACACTCTATAAAGTTTTATGCTTGGGCTTTGAATATCTACCCTGCATTAGCAGAGAATCAGTCAGTTAGAGGTGTTTTATCGAACTCATTGTATCGTAAAGGGCCGGTCATTTTATCTGTTGAACTGATTCAGGATATTCAAAAGTCTGGTTTTCGGATTACTGAAGACCTGCTTTGCTTATTGATTGGAAGTTGGGGGAGACTGGGGTTGGCAAAATATTGTTCTGATATTTTTGGCCAAATCTCATATTTAGGTCTTTATCCAAGCACAAGGTTATATAATGCTCTTATCGATGCACTAGTGAAGTCCAATTCCGTTGACTTGGCATATCTTAAATTTCAACAGATGACAGCTGATAATTGTCATCCGGATAGAATCACGTACAATATCCTTATTCATGGCGTTTGCAAAGCTGGTGTGGTGGATGAGGCACTTCGCTTAATGAGGCAGATGGAGGGCAGGGGACATTTCCCCAATGTTTACTCATATACGATCCTAATTGATGGGTTTTGTAATGCCAAGAGAGTTGATGAGGCCTTCCAAGTACTAAAGACAATGAAGGACAAGAAAGTGTATCCAAATGAGGCAACTATCAGAACATTGATTCATGGGACTTTCCGTTGCCTAGATCCAAGTAAGGCTCTTGAGTTACTATCCAATTTGCTTGACATGACACCCAACTATTTTAAGTTAGTTTGTGATACTATACTTTATTGTCTCACAAATAATTCTATGACGAGAGAGACAATCATGTTTTTCAGAACGGCACTGGCAAAAGGTTATTTCCCTGACAATTGCATATTCAATGTCATAATGGCTTGTTTGGTAAAAGGACCAGAGCTTCTAGAGACATGTAAGATATTTGATATTTTCAGAGAAAAAGGTGTGAAGCCAGACATAGGTACTTATCTTGCACTTATGGAGGCCTTATACAAGGATGGATATACGGAGGATGGGGATCGGATTCACAATAAGTTGTTGAGGGATGGGCTAATTACTACTGTCTTTTCATATAACATGCTAATTGATTGCTTCTGCAGAGCCAAAATGATTGATAAAGCATTGGAAACTTTCATCAATATGCAGCATAAAAGGCTTACTCCTAATCTTGTTACTTTCAATACCCTTATTAATGGGCACTGCAAGGTTGGAACAATAGTTAAGGCCCAAGAGCTTCTGAAGATGCTCTTAGAAATTGGAGTTCAACCTGATATTTTCACATTTAGTTCTATAATTGATGGGCTCTGCCGCGTACGCCAAACCGAGGAAGCCTTTAAATGCTTCACTGAGATGATTGAGTGGGGTGTCAGTCCGAATGCTGTCATTTACAACATCTTAATTCGGTCTTTATGTGCGACTGGGGATGTTGCAAGAGCTATGAAACTTATAAGAAGAATGCAAGATGAAGGACTAAGGCCTGATACATTCTCCTATAATGCTCTGATTCAAAGTTTCTGTAGAATGAACAAGATCGAGAAAGCTAAAAAGGTTTTGGTTTCTATGTCAAAGTCTGGTGTGAGACCTGATAATTACACATATAGTGCTTTTATGGAGGCACTATTTGAATCTGGGAGATTTGAAGAGGCCAAGAAGATCTTTTACTCAATGGAGGAAAACGGACACTGTCCTGATTCATATATATGTAACTTAGTGGTTAAGAAGTTGGTTGAGAAAAACTGCTTTGAAGAGGCTCAAATCATTGCAGAAAGATGCAAACAGAAGGGAATATCCTTGAACTCTGTTCCTATCTTGTAGACTGCATATTGACCAGCTTAAGAGATGGTGCTATATGGTGAGATTTTATGATTTGGTGCCTGGTTCAGTTACTTTGGATTATAAAAATATTAGCATGGAGATCTTGTGATGTATATTTCTAATGTGAAGGTGTTAATTTTATATGTATAATGACAGGGGAAAAATTAATAAAGCATCAGAATCTGTTGTGGAATATCTATGTTACAATCTTGAAAAACTAACAGAGAGCTTGTATGTACTCCTGAGCATGATCCAAATATGAAATTGATTAACATCTATAAGTTACCTCCTGAAACCTTGAGAAATATCATAGTCACAAGCTTTGAGACAATTTTGCATAAACTTAAAAGAGAGCAAAGTATGAAGAATTCCAAGCCATTGTTCAAAGAATTAAGGAAAAGAAAAGGATGAAATAATCTCATAAGTTGGTGGGGGGTCGGACATGCTGATCGCACACAACTGCATCTACTTGATCCTTTGGTTCTTCTGTAAACTCTGAACTCCAAAGACAAGGAAGCAAAGGAACCAATTTTGTGGACAAAAAATGATTTCCCTTGCTGCAAAAATGGAAAATTTTTAGTTGTCAAAATAAACCTTTTAGACTAGAAAATAAATGTTTCCTTAGGCATTACCGTTGTATCTTGTTCATGTATCCATTTTTTTCAAGGTTATTTCTCTTTATTATCATTTCTGACAATCACTTAAATAGTAGTAATGGCAGCCAGTTCTAAGTACCGTATAATACGTTAGTATTTCACTTAAGCAAATGTCGAGGGATTTGAATCTTTTCCATGATTCTTTCCCCGTTACTGACTGACAACTTACAGTTGTCCTTGATAGGATTTGCTTATAGTAAGTCTTTTTCTGACTTCTGCTGGAAATTGGTCTTCCTGCATGAATCAATTTATTTTTCTTTAAGTTCCTTGCTGTCCGCTATTTAAATCATAAGATTCTTACCCTTTTAATCAGAAACGGAGGAGAGGAGAGGGTACTAGTTACTTTTCAGATGTTTTCCTCACATCTATGGATAGTAGCAGGCATTCTCTTGAGACGAGGGAGAGTATGGAAAACAGATAAGATACTTTATTTGAAACAGGAAGCTTTATACTAGGGAGCATTGTCAGAACTATTCAGACAAGATCTATTTGGAATTTATAACATTATATTTATCCTGCATGTTGTTGACTGAATAATATCTTCCACATAGATTTTATCATTCTAAGCCACTGGATGTGGTCTGCTGGTGAAGTGTATTGAAACTTAATGAGAAATCTTAGAGTCAAACAATAAAACCCTTTCTCACACTGAAGAATAAGATAAAGGGGAAATTTTTGTTATAAATTATTTAGTTTCATAAAAAAAGAGTTCTGCTGAACAGATTTAAAATAATGCCTTTTTCAACATGTTTTTGTGCTCGGGCAAATTATGCTTTGCGTTAATAGTATCTTGATATTAGATTGGCAGGACTGAATTAACATTGTTATGGGTATAATTTATCAACCGTACTTGACAAAACAAATAAAGTGTAATTGTTTTCCTACACTAGATTATGTTTGACATTTTGAGAATTATGTATGTAATCTTAGGTTCTGCTACTTGCAGCTTGAGGGTGGCTGAATCTCTTATTACCCAAATGGTTCATGCCCTGCATTTCTTTGGTGATCTGGACACTATGAACCTGTATAATTAGTGCATGAGTATATGCCATCAATCTTGCTGTTTGGCATGATCTATCCCTATTAAAAAGGTAGTAAATTTTAGAGAGCTTGTTCGAGGTGATCAGTCACCTGACAAACCATTGTTTTGCAATGCGGGAGGCCAAGAAACATGTTTTGAGAGTTTCTTGCAGCTCTTGGGAAAGAAACTTAATGAAATTATGGTTCATGGGATTGTGGATGCCATTGAGAATACTTTAAGTTGGATATTATTGGAGTATTCAGTTGGTTATGGCTAACAGCAATAGGAATGTCTCTCTGTCTTGTATCTTTTGATTCCCATCTTTTGGACTTGCAAAATTCTATATCTGCATATGGCTTTGTTGTGGCTTCGTGGGCTTGTTTTCTGATTGATATAATGTTTTTTCTTTTATTAAAAAAAAAAAAACTCAATTGTTCTTGCGGAAATCTAAATATTCTTTGGTTAATGGACAAGGACAGAATCTTTTAGTCTTGCATCCCTCCAAAAATGTCGTTTAAAATTTTGGAATTCTCTTCTGTTGATCTTTATTCATTTATTTATTGATAGGGCATTCCTGACTGTTCTCTTGCACGCATGATGGCTTGAAGATAATTCCAGCCTTTGTTGTCCTCTGTGTCAAGATTCTTATGAATGTTCTGCTTGTTGCTCTTGCTAAATTAGTTATAGGCAATGCATATTACATAAATGACTTCAACTTGAAAGACTGTTCTTTCATTATGCTTATAAATTAGGTGTAGTCAGACTTGGTGGAATGAGAATCTGAGGATGACTCATGGTGGCCAAGGACATACTTAAGGAAGATCTTGCCAATGTTGCTGATGGTGACAGACGGTGATGGGGGAGGTCTTGAGTTGTTTTGCAATGACGAGGAAGAGAGGCCAGAAATAAGGCAAGCTGGTGTGAACCTCAGGGAAAGGAGGATGGCGGAGGAGAGAGCCAAGACCAAGGACAGAGGTACCACAAAGTGCCCTAGGTATCTATGAAAGCCCATGGCGTAGCTTCCTCTTCTTTTTTAAAATCTATTGCAAAGAAAGGCAATCACATCAATCTGGGTGTTATTAGACGCATCCTATCATATTATTCTTACCTAGCCAAAATATTAGCATTCTCCACTGGGGATAGTGATTTTGACTGGAGAGAGAACTTGAGAAAGCTGCATGTAATTAGCCGAAGAAGATCCATAATTAGATAAGGTTATGATGTAATGAAGTTCTGAATTTTAATTCTCTTTCCATTCTTCTATTCTTTTTACCTCTAATTCTGTTTCTACGTATCATATTTTCGAAGAGCTTAATATGAGGACTTTCTGCTGTTTTGTTGTAATTGTTGAGACTTTTCAATTATGTTCAAAATTCACACTTTGATCTGCCATTTTGTCTTGCTAGAAATATTTCACAACAATTGTAGGAAAATGGGTCAGTCCACCATTGATGGATTGGATCCAAACCCATTAAGTTTGGGATTCTGGTACAAATAATAGAATATCTGGGTTGACAATTGCAATTTCCCCATTTTGTTTAAAATTGCAAATTGAAATGAGACAAAACGGTTATTTGCCGAAACGGTTTTGTGGAGTGGGGTGGTTTTTATCACAAGCATAGGCAAAAACCAAAGTGTGATCTCTCCGGCTTCCACTTCTCTTTTTTATTCCCTGTGTTCTTCCTCTCCTACCGGTACATTTGTTGTGTAACACTAATCTGAGTTTGCCGTTGTGACCGGATCCTGCGTGGCTATCTGAAGAGATTTGAGATACTTCAGGTATGCTCGAAATCCTTCAGTGTATCAGAGTGGGGTTTATCTTTCTATTATTGTCATTCTGTGGCCTGCGTTTTCATATGTTTTTTTCTACTTCAGAGTCCCTTTTTTTATCTTTTCGGTTCTGAGCATCAGAGATTTGCTTCACATATATACTATGAAAATCCTTTCATTTATGCTTCAGTATGATTGTTTTCTGACTTATATTTATAAGTAGATATGATAGATTATGTCTCTGCCTCCATAGAACACGTTCTACATCATTCTTTTTCGGCCGTACGTTTTTTCATTTTTGGGTGTCTAGAAAATCAAGTTTTTAGGCTACAAAAACTATCCCATTGTGTAGAGAATGAAAAAAAAAAAGAAGAAAACATATAAAATATGCAAAAAAAATGGACACCGGACGGCCAATATATGGAAGAGAGAAGTTCTTCTTGCCCGTCCAGACCCGACCCATCACTCCAGCCGGTCGGTTGACCCGGCTGGAGGTAGAAGACGATGCACAGTGATCAAAACGGTGTCGTTTTGATCACTGCAGAAAAAAAGGAAACGGTTTTGGGCTGTCTGACAGCCCCATTGTCCTTAATAAAAAAAAAAGGGGGGGTTTTCTCAGTTGGGTCAGAAAAGGACAAGCCCATACCAAAAAAAAAAGAGGGATCTGGTCCATTAAAAAAAAAATTTTGTCCAGAAATGCCATGTGGCGGCATGCCTTCTGGACATGTGGGGCCCATCACCTGACAAGTGGTGGCGTGTGGAGGCCGCGGAACAGCACGTGTGCCGGCGGTCGACTGCAACACCGCTGACAACGTGAGTGGGGTGAAATTTTTTTTTCAATTTTTTGCTAATTCATCCTTCTAGGGGCGCGTGTGGGCGTGTGGGAGGTCCATTTGAGGTGCGGTTTGTCTCTAAAAATCCCTAAAATCAAGATCTTCATTTTACATATAATTTGCTAATTTTGGAGACAATTAAGGATATGTTTGTGAGTATTTTCAGTGTATTTTCTGGTATTTTCATGCGGAAATAAATTCCAGAATATTCAAAATAATTTAAATTATTTTGTTCTAGGTGAAAATGAAGCAAGAGGCTTCTAGTAGCACTGAAAATATCAAAGATGGTTCATTGGAATACTCATACATGGATAATGCAGTTCCAGAATATGAACCAGAGGATGAGGATCCTGAAGAGGACCTTGAAGAGGTTCCTCAAGAAGACCCGGAGGAGTTAATGGATTCTGGACCTAAGTCGGAATCTTTATTCCCCACTGAACCCCTCGTACCAAACCTCATTTGGTCTTTAATGATTCACTAGATCTTCCAATGAAATCGAAGTTGAGGAAGGAGAAGAGGTGAATCAACCCTGTACCCCTGCTTTAGCTATGAGAATAGCTGAAAGAGATGCAGCCAAACTGACAAACATAAAAGGCATCAATGGCGTGCTCGCCAGCTACGTCCATTACATGACCGATAAGAAGAATACTGAATTCTACCTTAAAGTCATAATGGAGTACATAAGAGCAATAAGGGTTAGAGGCGGACCTAAAGAAAACCTATAAGGAAATTTTACTGGATTTGGGCTATAGATTTAGTATCATCCTTTATGACCAAAACACACAAACTTAGAAAGCTGAGGAGAGCAATGCTTGATTACCTTTATGTTCATATCAAATGATGTAATATTTGTATTCGCCTTATTGACATTTGTTATATTAAGTTTGTGGTTTCATGCATTTGTAAACAGACTAAGTGTGTTATTTCATTTAATGAAATTACTTGAATTATTATTGTATGATTATTTGTGAATAATATATGTATGCTTTTTATAAGTGGGAGCTTTTAGAAGATAAGACTTCTAAGAGTCACAATTTTTGAAGTGCTTATATAAAATCCTTGATAGGACATAATGATTGTTGCCTGTATCTGTGTGATGGGAGGTACAAACGTATGCTCTTGATCATGGATCTTGCAGTGTCATTACTTTCTGATCAAGGATGATATAAGTACAAGACATTGTATACTTTCCTGTGCTATATAACTGAAATGTTCTATGGTACGTCTCTCTTTTAGAGAGAACGTAGAATAATGTGGGATAAATTTGTCACAGAACTAAAAATGGCAACCAAGAACATAATTGCTGAGCTTAATAAGGGAGAAAAGCTCAACGGGATAACTGGGACATATGGCACCGAAAGGTCCAATACATCTTGGAGGAACAAGATGCGGTTGAACCTTTAACCACTGCAATGGTCGAACCCAAAGCTGGGAATACGGCCCAACATAGGAGAGACCAAGAGGCTTACCTAGTTTGGAAGAAGAAAAACACATAGCAAGAATTACGCTTCTGAGTGCCATGGCTGATGACATAATGTGCGAGTTTGAGAGGCACACAACTGCACAAGCTATGTGGATAGCGTTGAAAGACAAGTTTGGTGGTACTTCTACCACTAAACTTAGAAGGTTGACGATTAAGTTCGATACCTACAAACTCAAGCCAAACAATCCTATGAAACAACATCTATGAGAGATGGCCAACATGATCAGGAACTAAAGGAAGTTGGATATGTCCTGTCTGATGAACAGCAAGTGCAGGCTGTTATCAGATCACTCCCTGTTAGCTGGGAGCACATGAAAGTCAATCTGACCCATAATGAAAACATCGTTACTTTTAACGATGTAAAACACTTGGAGCTAGAGGATGAACGTTTAGAGGCTTACAAGACCTCTGGACAAGCTTATTACACTGAGGATGCCGGTACTTCCCAATCAAGGCCCGATTCCAAGAAGGGCAAGAAGTTTTAAAAGAAAGGGAAGAATAGTGGTCCTCAACCCAAAAAGGGAAAGAAGCAATTCAAGAAGAAGGGAAAGAA